AAGCGATACACAAAGAAAAGAGTTGAGTCTTACTCAACGGGTAAACCTGCAGTGTTGAAAAATGAATCCAATGTGGAAGTTCATACAAAACTGCAGTTCCTCTAGTGTCCACTAGGTGCCGGTTTTAAAAGACCATATTAAAATGTCAGCAGAATATAAACATGTTTACACCCTGATAAGTTAATGTCTTCATTAATGGATGTAAACATTGATGGTTAGAATTCACCCATTTTGATTTTCATTAGGGAAACAAGTTATGCATAATTAGGGGCGTGTCCAATCTGACTGCAATCGGCCATTGTAGCGGTTTGTCAGGAGGCTTTATGCTGCACTCAGGAGTTCCTCGGATGGTCCCAGTTTCCAAGTTGGGAAGTCGTTCTTCCGACTTTAGTGTGTTAACGTGTTTTCAGTAGGGAAAGTGGAATGTTTTAACAACAACAAACAGCGTGGATTCTACAAAGACGATGTGTGGAGGGTCTCTGTTACGAGTTACATTTGACTTACAAATTCATCTGCAATACAGATACAAAAATATCTCAATATTAACAAAACATATTTTGACCCCCCATGTTGGTGGCAAATATGACGTCAAGTCAGCAAGCACCATATTCTTTCCAAAGTTTCTAAGTTGTTGCTGACTTGAGCAGACGGTCATGTGCAGGAGAAGCTGAGGAATTTTTAAGATGACTGAGATGAGTTTTAATGATAAAACCTGACCATGTATGGAACAGAGCCTAGAGGATTTGGGTGTCCTCAGTCATTCCACAAGGGGGCGACTAGATATGAGATACATGTTACTCAAAGTAACAAACCCGTCAGTTTTAGTCCTTATTGGCTGAATTTGATCCATTTGGTCCAATAAAATTTGGATCCTAGAGGAGACGTTTTATAAAATGATAATGTTTGTTGGGGAGCCAAGCATGTCACATGTGCACTCTCTGAAGCATCTTGACGTCACCCGTCTGTTCCTGCAGGGGGCGCTGGAGTCCCATTGATGGCGGTCTCCATGCTGGAAATCCTGACTCACTCTAACTTTCAGTCAACCTAAAGGCTGAGAGCTGGAGCTGAGGTGGGTTTTAAACCTCTTGATCAACCCTTACCTCGTTCCCACCTGTCAGTCAGGTCAGCTACATGCCTCATTGTGAACAACTCTTATCCTTCATGCAAAAATGTACAATGTGTGCTGATCGATACATGAGTTTATCAGACCTATTTTGTTTTTTGGAAAAATTGGCTTTTTTGAATGCGTGTGTATGTGACTTCCTGAGCTTCTGCAGCCAGCCTCTAGTGGGCACTTGAGGAACTGCAGGATTTTGCTTTGGATTCATTTTCAACACTGGAGGTTGATGCTTGGATTTTAGATATAATTCACATGGGTTATCTCTTTAAGTCAGACAAAATCCATTATTCACATCCCTGAAAAAATCACAGCTGTTCCGTTACAACCCTGAGTATTAGAAATGACTTCATAAATAACATAATATCATCATTAATATTTTAGGATCTTTGCCTGTATTTTAAATCTTCACCAGTGTGAAGCACAGCCCTGACTAGCCCCCCCCCCCTTCTCTCAGACTTGATGGCCGTGGGCTGTGACCTGAATGGTGCCCACTATGAGAACGGAGAAGGTTTCCAGCCCAGCCCCCTCTATAAGTGCACATGTATCGCTGGGGCCATCGGCTGCACCCCCGCTTTTATTCAGAAGCCTGCCGGTCTCTTAGGCCCCGCCCCACTGATGGGCAACATGCCAGCCAGCCTTCGCAGTGGCCAGAGCCCAAAGAAGCACCAGCAGGACACCACCTACATGTCAGGTGAGTGTTTGTGGAGCAGAGCCACGGAGAAGGGCCTGCCTGTCTGGACAGGAATGCTAATTACTCCCCAAGTTATGTGAATGAGTAAGGGGGGGGGGGGGGGGGGCGGCTTTCATTGCTGTGGTAGTGAAGGGGGAGTGAGGTGTGGCTGCCTGTGGTTAGACTGCCTCACAGAGGGATACAGACAGATGGATGGATCCAGTTATAACCAGGACGACAGGAGCGGCTCTGTTTTTATTCACTTTGATGTATCAGTGCTGGTTTGTGTGCTCTGCTTGGCATGAAACTATGACTGCCCCAAAAACCAAAGAGCTCAAATACTTTATGGGGGGGGGGAATCAGAAAATAGTTTAAATTCAAAAGCTGAGTAAGAATCTGTCCATTAAAAGTGTTTCTTTAAACAGAAAGTGTAAAAGTTTTCTGAGTTACTCAAAGACGCTTCACAAAGAACAACAAAACAAAATAAAGAGGAATTAATGTAAAAGTGCTTTCACACAAAAAACTCCTGAAAATCTTCTGATCTTTCTGGGAGGAGCTGTATCTGTGGTCAAATGTTTTCGTTCGGACTTCACTTGGAGTTTCTCCTGCCAGACCCTCTATAGTTTTCTGCATTAAGTCAGAGTGAGCGGAGAATTCACCCCCAGCCAATGAGAGAGGGCAGTGACGGTCATATATTGTGATTGCTGCACAGACAGTCTACGATCTCTGTGCTTGTAAAATAAACAGCTGCAAACTGGAATTATCTGGATATTTTCAGGAGTGCAGATGTGATAACGGCACAGACAGAGTTTGTTAGTGGCTGTAGGCGATTCAGAAGAGGTGTTAGAGATGTCATTAAGAAAAGTGAGGGGGGGGGGGGTCTGTAATGGTTATGGGATTGAGTTCCAGAGGGTGGGAACAGCAATGGAGAAGGTCCTGCCCCCCCTCAGGACCTGTGGTGTTGGTGCATTCCATTTGATCTCAAAAGTCAGGAATTCAGAGGTGCTGGTCTGAAACGTGGTCAGGAACGCTCCCCCTGAAGTCAGAACTCTGATTGGACGCATACATTAACTCCGTCATAGCGTGTGTTTTTCGGATTTCTAAGTGGAAAAAGCTCTTTGGGATGTCTCAAATAAACAAAAGATTTGTTGCTTTCTGGTGCGCCTGGTGTCACATCTCAAAAGAAACATGTAGAATGAATAACTCATATCTTTAAAACAAGGGTATTCCTTGAGATGAGTATGTATTCGGGGTCTCTCCAGTCCGTGCTCAGCTCGGCAGTTAAGTGGCACCCAGACGGGCTCTTGGTGTAGGGTGTTGTTGACACAGTGCCCTTTAACTGTAATACTGAAAGCTTACAGGGATCCTCCTTTAGCCTGGAAGAAGAACTGTCTGGTCCAGACCACCCCCTGGAGCCCCTGCTCCAAAACCTGCGGCCTGGGGATCTCGGTGCGCGTCAACAACGACAACGGCAAATGTGAGATGAGGAAAGACCGCCGACTGTGCCTGCTGCGCCCGTGTCAGAAGAGCGTGATCAAGAGTATCAAGGTGGCCGGTCTATTCAAGAATCTAGTTTCAGATCTTTATAATGGTTTTTCATTTTTTAACATATTAAAATGAAACCGTTTATATCCTCTCGTAGATGCCGAAGGGGAAAACATGCAGGGCTAAATTCCAAGCGAAGAAAGCGGAGAAGCTGACCCTCTCGGGCTGCACCAGCACCAAGAAGTTTAAGCCCAGGTACTGCGGCGTGTGTACAGACAAGCGCTGCTGTGTGCCCAACAAGTCGCGCATGATCAAGGTCAACTTCACGTGCAAGGGAGGCTCCAATACGCAGTGGAAGATGCAGTGGGTGACGTCCTGCGTGTGCCAGAGGAAGTGCAACGACCCGGGCGACATGTTTTCTGAGCTGCGATTACTCTAAGGGAAGTCCAGAGACACAGACGCAGGAGACGAGACCCCCCCCCCGGTGTCAGACTGAGGACCAAACACACACACATGATTAGGTTCAAAAAGAGTCATCTTTAGAAGGATCAATTTCTTTAAAAAAAATACACAAGAAAACACACAACACTGCAAGACGAAAGAATGGCTTCGATCATTAAAGGGACACTGTGATATTTTGTGTCATTTGGAGATCAAAGTGATGTGTAGGTATATAAAGGTTTGGAATTGCACAAGGTAATGTTTGTTAAACAGTAATGTAAGGGCTGCAGTGTGATCACGGGGGGGAAAGTTGAGGCGGCAGTGGAAAACCAACTCCCACATCCTGCGAGGCAAAAGTACCAATTACGTTGAGAGAGTCTCAGGACAAAAACAACTTTCTCTGAAGAACCTTTATGTAATGTTGCTAAAACACTTATTACAACAATTTGAAACTGGCTCTGTTAAAGGCAGGGTTGGTCATTTTTGCATGACTAGCATGACTTTGAAAGTAGTGTTCCCTCATTGCTCTCTCTCACCCCATCGAGAAAATGACCAACTCTGCCTTTGCTAAACTTTAGATTTAATTTGGCAAATTTCCCCCTAAAGACGTAGCAGCCGTTGAACCTTAAAATCATACCAAAATATGTCAGAATAGAACTTAAAGGTCACATATTATCTAAAAAACACTTCACCATGTTTCTCTAACACTAATATGCGTCTCTAGTCTGTCTACAAACCCCCCAATGATGAGTAAAGTCCATCCTCTCTGTCTTTTACCTGCTCCACTTTTCAGAAAATGTGTGCTCAAACAGGCCGTTTGGAGATTTTTCCTTCATCACAAAGGGCAGTAGCCCCTCCCCCAGGTGGGTGACACTCCCACAGCTAGGTGTTTGTTCTGCCCTCTGAGTCTGACTTCTCACCGTAAACAATAGGGCATGGAGCAAGAAAGCCTGAGACACCCAAGCCCTTCCAGAGAGGGGGTGTGGTCAGACACAGCTCATTTACATATTTAAAGGTACAGACACAGAAACAGCCTGTTCTGAGCAGGGCTGAAATAGAGGGGTTTATAGACATGATCAAATACAGGATCAGAGTGGATTTAGAACAAGAAACTTCACACACATGTTTTGAGGAGCTCTGAGACTTATTTAAAGTAATGGAGGATAATATGAGACCTTTAAAGTTCTCCTCAGTGTTGGTGACGTGCCTCAAGAAACCACAAGACTCGAACTGAAACTACAAAACCTCATTCAATAAGAAAGAAAGGCGGCAAGATATTTCATGAAAGTTTGAAGCTTTTCTTTTTAATGAACTATTTTCTAAGGACATGATCGTGCAATAACGTTAAGTCATGTGGCCAGTGCATTAGCGGAAATGGCAGATGTACCGTAAAATCTGGATGCAAGTCGCACCGGAATATAAGCGCAAACTCACACTAGGCAAAGGTGCCCGTACTGTACTCAAGCACCATGCCCCCCTCCCCATTCCAGGACTAACCAGGGTCTGAGCATGGTTATCTCTTGTACATAACGTTGCAATTCAACACATGCATGGCTTTATGTGATCATGAAGCATGCTTAGTTTACAAGACAGGCTGAAGAAAGAATAGATAAAAGGGACGCTCGGTGGAGCCCATGTTCGCACATCGAAGAACAACACAGAGAACATGAAACTTTACAGACTTTGTGGCTTATTTTGATCAGATACAGCCAGAGCATACTATTTCTCGATAATGGAGGCGGGGGCAGATTATACTTAATCTCCACGTTGTGTACCCGTGCTTCTGCTCATGTATGAACTGTACCGTGCCGAAGAACACCTCTTCCAACGATGCCAGGACTAAGGAAGTGTACCGTGATTGACCATGGTATGGAGCAATCACAGTAGTCAAACAAACTGGACTTTAGGGGTGAAGCGTGCTTGGGAACGGTACAGATTGCCTTATGTGAGTGCGCCCTAAAACGCAGCCTTGTCTGAGGGTCACCCTGAGGGGGTAAAGGTTTAAACTGTCCTCGTGCGTGACACTTTTCATTGTGTTCAGCAAAGTTGACAACGTGCAGTTTCTGTGCAGCTCTTGCAGCACCATCTGTTTTCACCATGTGGAGTTTACAATCCTGACGACTACAGCAGGACACAAGTTCAGCTCTCAGCCTCATGGTAGTGCTGATACTTGAGGAGTACGGAGCCACAGCCCGGGACCAACAGCCCCTTCCCACCTCCGCTGGTCACTTGTTGTCTTTAATTGAGGAGTCTTTTCAATCAAGCCAGCGCTCCACAAGGTTGATTTACTTCACCGTATACCAGCTTTCTTTTTAAAAGCACAATAATGACCTTATGAGGGAGAAAAGTTGTTAACATGGCGCCCTCAGACTGATCTGTGTTCAGCATCAGGTGGCGTGCACTGGGTGACGGCTGCACATGTAGGCATGACGTTGCATGTCTCAGTATTTTGTACAGGTGTATTAGTGGCACAGGGATATAAGGTGCAGCCTGTTGTTCAGATGTAAAAGTGCGTCTAATCTCCAGATTTTACGGTAATTCATGACCAAAACCTCCTAATGGTCACCTACATGTTATATCAGGTTCTAAAACATATTGAGTGAAACTCTTGTAATGTGACATGTTGTTCCTGAAAATGTTGAATCAGGTCATAAATTAGACAATAATGAGATATAAATTATAAAGGTATGTACAAACATTTTGGTTGTGTTGTGTCATTCTTTAAAAAACAATGATTATCACTTTGCAAGCAGACAGAGAACACACAAACACAAACCCACACACACCCACACGTTAACATCAGAGCATCCTTCATCTGGCGATGTCGAGTCTGGGTGCATCAGGCACGAGTCTCCCCTTGGTGGCGTCCAGCTGATTGTATTCTTCGATCAGTGAGTCGAGGGAGCTGACGGCCTCTGAGAAGAACTCCTGCTCCATCCCATCAACGTGCAGGTAGTGGTGCAGGTGAGCCTTCAAAGAGCAGAAAGACAACAATATGATGTCAGGCTTTAAGAGGGAAAACAAACACAAGAAAGAACACACACAGCTGGTAATAAGAAATATTACTGTTGGAATGAAAAAAAGTAAAGTTCAGAATACAAGTCACACTGGGAAATAAGAAGCAGAGAGAAAAAATGTTTGAACTGTCTTCTTGCGTGACAATTTCTAATAACCTCAGCCAAGTCGACAGCATGCAGTTTATGTGCAGCTGTGTAGCTCTAAAGTCTGTTTTCAGTTTGCCAGGGTTGCATTCCTACTAGCTGCAGTAAAGTAGTCCAGCTCTCAGCCTGCGGGGAAAGATGTGATCCTTTATGATAAACCGCAACCCAAATTTCTGATATTTTTCAACCAATTGGATTTGTTTATTTTGGAACAAGACGGTACACAAACATGTTTTAAAAGCTCATGATAAACTTTATGACCCAATTTTTCTAGGCACACTTTCGCAACCCACTGAAAATGACTCCTCACTCATGGCCCACTTTTGGGTCCCAACCCACCAGTTGAGTACCAGTGGTTTAAAGAGCACTCCAAAAGCTGTGGATATATATTACATGTATAGTTCAAAATATCAAAACAGATGAGTTATAAAAACAGTGTGTGCTCATGAGGACAATAACTAATCAGACCTGTTTCATGTTTTGAACCAGGCTGTAAACTCATTAATTTACTGGCTTTTTTGAATGGGTGTGTATGTGACTTCCTGTGCTTCTGCAGCCAGCCTCTAGTGGACACTCGAACTTCAGCATGAGCTTCATTTTTCAACACTGGAGGTTGCATGCTTTGTTCAGTCACACCTCATTCTTCTGGACTCTGAATGAATAAAGCTCTGACCCCTTGACACACTCACACATGAAAATCAGATGTTTTTTAAATTAACTCTTTCTGAAGGAGAGTCCTAAACCTTGAATGACTTAAGAGCACCTTCTTCCTGTAGAGCTTGGTGAAGCGCTCCCTCAGCTCGATGAACGTGGGCTTTACACAGGTGTTGTTGGCGAGAGCTAACAGCGAGTGGGAGTGACCCACAGGAGGGACCGAACACAGGCCCGTCTTCCAGCCCTCCTGGTTCCACGAGACAAAGGGCAGCGAAGGCTTCAGTCTGGAGACGGGACATAACTGATGGTTAATGGGGCCCTAAAGAGGAAAACTTTACCTTTAAAGAATGCTACAAATTGATCAGAATCATTCAAAACTGAAACGGTAACACCACTGTTTGTATTATAACTGCTGTCTTATGACTGACACATTTTGTAGAAAACATGGATAACTGTACAAGAAGAGGAATGACTTCAAGATTTCAACATGACATTTTCTTTTCTTATTCATCATTATTTTTAAAGATAATTAGGCTACTAATGGATGTATGTGGGGATGTGTTGTTTAACAAGCTTTCTAACGTGTAAAGTCAAGCTTAAACTTTGAGTGATTTCAGGACCATTAAGACCCACATTTAGAGTTGTGGGACTAACTCTGAAGTCATCGCTCGCCAAACGTCGTGCAGTGAACACTGAGGCCGATCAGCTGCTCCTGACCGGCATGTTTGAGGTTCTGGTTGTATGAGTGCAAACACTCCCTCAGTGAGAGCCGAGATACGAGCTGATTGTGTCTGCACAAACTGACAGGAAAACACCATGACAACAGCAGACATGCCTGTTTAAACGGTCTCCCCCCTCAGATAATGGCAGGAAATATCTGCGGACATCTAGTTGACCGGGAACATTTTTTATGAATTAGCTGCTTATCATCAGACTGTGTGAGATAGAGAGTGGAAGACATTTGTATTCAATGTTTGATATCCTTAAATTAAAAAAAATTAAAAAATCAGGTCATACAGTGTGAGCACATTAATGGTGAGCTCTGGTCGTGCGATGTAAATGTTCCAGTCGTAAGGTGTGAGCTAACATTCTACTACAACTTTTTTTTTTCAAAGATTTATTTTTGGACTCTTGTGTCTTTAATGGAGAGATAGGACAGTGGTTAGAGTCAGAAAGGAGGACCACAGCCTCCACACATGGGGCACGCGCACTAACCACTGAGCCACTACACCACCAGCGTCCCTCCACCACGACTTTTATACAATTGTACAGTGTACGTCCGGCTTTAGAGAAAAGAGAGGAGAAGAATTTTTGAACCAACTTCATTCTGCTTTTATGCTTTAAAAATATTGAAAGGGTTCATCTCTCCTCGGATTAGCAGCTCTTTAATGTAACACAAATATAACAAACATCCTGTTAACTTTTTCTGTTTTATGAAGAAAAGAAAAAAAGACGTGTGCCCTAAAGAAACTTTTGGCAGCTAATATTTCTGTCCTTTCCTACCCCCCTTCTCCTCCCTCCTTTCCCTTCCTATATACCATGGTCACGTCCAAATATGCGCTCTCACAGCAGCGTCTGTCTCACTTTCCCCTCCACTTTGCGCCACAGAAAAACAAGGTCTGCAGGGAGAGCGCTGAAGGGAGGGCAGCGGAGAGGTGGGTGCTGAATGGACCAGTCATGAATCACTGCCGTCAGGGCTAAATGGGGGTACTTATTTGGGAGGCAGAGAGTGAAGGTCATCTCTGGGCCCCTGTCAGGAGGAGGGGGGTTACTGAGTTGTGGGGGATGTTTTGATTTAGATGGAGAGAGAGAGGGAGGATGGTGCTGTGCTTACCTCTCGATGTTCCTGCGGAGGTCAGACACCTGCACGTTGCCCCTTACCATGAGGGCGCAGGCCAGGTAGAGGCTGTGCTTCGGGTCGGCCCGGATCAGCTGGTGGTCTTTACTGAAGGCGTCACTGAACATCTGATCAAGTCTAGACGGGGAATTAAGAGGACACAGACATGTTATAAGAAAAGAAAATGACAGTCCTAGTTGAGGCTTCAGAATCAGGATCAGAATATAAAGTCTACATTATTAATCTTGAAGGGTCTTGAAGGGATTCAGGACCCTCAAGTAGGACCGGCTGGTCGTGTATTCAGGGGTCAACATGTATAAGAAAGAAGTGTTTTATACCTTTATTTACTCTACACGTTCTGCTGAGCAGGCAAGACACCCTTAAGCAACACCCTGCTTTGCATTCAAACACTTACAGATATTCATGCTGAGAGTTTGCCCAGTGAGACCCCCACTCTTTTTAAACCAATAAGCAGCTCCTCTGGAGAAGACGAGGTCTATACGGTTCAAACACAGGATACTTTCATGGCAGCTAGATTTAGGGAGGAGGAGGGAGGAGGGAAGAGGGAGGAGGTGGTTGGCGGATCAAATGCTGTTTTCCTGTCAGAAGCCTGCAGCTCCATGAATTCTGGTTCATATTAAAGTTGGGACTGACTTTTTTCCATTTGGGGGTCTTAAGGGGCTAAGGACCAATGAGTGCACATTCTTGAGGAGGATTCAGTCAGTCAGCAGAGAAGCATGCTGTAACAGCAGCAAAATAAAAGAATCCTCACAGAGTTAGACCTTTTTACTAAGTTCATAATTAGGGCTGTTACTTTTAAATGAATTACATTTGTTGTTATCATGTGAATTGGAAACCAAAAATTTCAAAGCTTTATCTATTCTCAAAAGGACACTGAGGTTTCCCTCATTTCCAACGCCGTCGAGATTACAAGAAAAGTAAAACAAGCAAAACACAACATACACTCAGAATCAGTGACAAATACCAATGAGATCCATTAAAACAGTTACAATTTAGAAAACAGTGTCCAGAAATCAAATTCCTAAACTCTGGAAGAGAGGGAAGGACTCTGATCTTTAGAGTTTGCTGGAGGGCGTTCCCCGAGTTTGGGGCATCAAAAGAAAATGCTGATTTACCAAGTTCAGTAAAAGCTCGAGGAACTTTAAGAACGAGCCAATCAGAAGAACGGGTCACGTAGGTGCCCAAATTCCACTCCAACAGGTCTGTGATCTAAGGTGGAAGAGCCTTAAAGATATATAAAAACCAGCGTTTGCTGCGCCTCTCTTCAAGAAAAGGCCAACTGACCCTCTTAAACAGGTCACAGTGATGAGTGTCAAATCCATCAGCAGTTATAAACCTGAGGGCGAAGTGATAGACGGCGTCCAAAGGCTTCAGAGTTGAAGCTGCAGCATGTCTATAAATGACATCGCCGTAATCCATCACTGATAAGAACAGCTTCAAAAATCCTTTTTCTGCATGATAACCGAAAACTTGATTTGTTTCTGTACAAAAAGCCAATTTTCTGTCGCAACTTGGAGAAAAGAGTTTTTACATGGAACTTAAAAGTGAGTCCCTCATCGAGCCACATGCTAAGATATTTATACTCATATACTCTCGATGTCTGAGCAATTTAAAGAAGATTAGCATACAGTCTCATAATCGTTAACTTGACAGAATCTGCAGAACAATACAAAACAGTGTCGTCTGCATAGAGATGAAATGAAAATGTAGGTCACGTTTGTTTAATGTTTGTCCTGTCTTAAGGTGAGAGTACTTTACTCCATGTTTTGAATTCAGCTGTGCATTTGTTTTGAAATTAAGTAAGGACCTTCTGGTGGATGGAGGGTTAGGACATGAACTGAGGGCGCACTCACACTAGGCCCAGTTGTCCTATACTGTGCTTTAGCGATACTTTGAACTCGTCAGCTGAGCTGTCTGAGAGTTTGTTAAAGTGAAATGAGACATTCAAAGATGCAGCAGCGTCCTTCTTTTACATCACTGAGACTACAGGGAGACACTGAGGACCACTATCTACGGTAAGCCTAAAGGGACAAAATAATGAGATTAATCAGGATTAAAGAAAACGTACTGCATTCATTTCAGACTTTAACTGATTGTGAGTAACTAGTTATGCTGACAGCCCTAACAATGATCATTTTTCTTAATAGAAACCAGCGTTACATTTGTGTCTTTGAAGTCACTGTTTTCATTGTAGCTCACAAATGTTGTTAATCTACCGCTGCCACACCTGGATCATTTTTGTTAAAACGTGTTGTGTAAGCTCCAAACTAAACCTGACTGAGACAGTGAGAGAGCAGTAAATCCTTTGTCCTTTGTGTTTCTGGCTTTGAAAAGAGACCAAGTAGAAAATGTATTTTTAACATTCTGACATAAAGGTCTTACTCTGGGGATCCAGTTTTATGATATTCTCAGATTCCTAATCACAATTCTATTAAATTTGACAGATTTGATTTGATTTATTTACGTTTTTATCTTATTGTCCGGCTGATTGTAAAACATGAATGTCTTGTCAGTGAGACTTGAAAGGTAGAGTCAGCAGCTTACAGACTATATACTAATTTAACGATCAATCATCACTTATCCATACACGTGTGGTGGTGACTGTCTGCAGAGACTCTGTCCTGTGACTGGATCTTTATGTTTTGTTTTGTTTTGTTTTGGTTGATGCAGAGTTGGTCTGCTTTCTGTTGGACAGGCAGGTGACAAACACCAGCGATTAGCTTGTGCTAACGTGTCGTTGCTTGCAGTGTAGGTACAAGCAGTAAACGTACACACTAAAGTCCTGGAGTGAGTGTGAGCTTCTGGGGGTGATAAAACCAGGAGGAGGGGCAACAGTTTGAATGTTGCGTTTACAAACTGCAACAAACATTTGAACTGACTGCACCTTTAAGATCCAGTGCACATGTTTTGTTTTTTTCCCACCCTCTAACCAGTAAGGTTATTGATGGCGGGGGGATCCCCTCTCATTCATCACTAATGTCAACATGACACCCGTGTTGAGGGGATGATGGAGTTCATGTGAGCTCACTACTCGGAGCTCTGTGGGACACCAAACAACTGTGAGAGAAAAAAATAGCTGCAGTGACAGTGAGAGCGCAGTCACCTTCTGGTGGGGACACTGACATCTGCCAGCGTGTAGAGAGGCGTGAGGCTCGGTACCAGGTAGTGTAGACGAGGAAACGGGACCAGGTTCATGGCGATCTCATTCAGATCCATGTTGAGTGATCCCTCAAAGCGAGCTGAGCTGAGACACAGGGAAGTTAGAGTGACACATAAGAGAACTGAAGAGGCGCACTGCAAAAACTCAAATCTTAGCGCAGTAATCAAAGTGTCGTTCTTAAGCCACATTTACACCACAAGTCCAAATACAAATCTTATATTAAGTTATTACAAGCGAGAAATAAGGCCTAGATTGTTTTAATGGATCTAACGTCTCATATCAATAAACTAAATGAATATTTTAGCTTATTAGCAGATTTAACATATTACGAGCATTTCATTTTTTGTGCTTGTAATATCTCAAAATAAAATGTTGATCTGGACTAGTCAGGTAAATATGACTAATAAAACGTATTATGAGATATCTGTCTGGAAATGAGATAAACACACTTCCTAAGATTTGAGTTTCTGCAGTGTAAGTGAAACTTATGAAGTACTGATTTTACAGTAAAAGACCCTCCCCCCTTTTGCAATACATTCACAGACTCTACATGATCAGTTCCTCACTGTGAGTGACAGTTTTTTTATCACAGCATGTTTCCTCCATCATTAAAGTTGCCTGGATGGCTATAAGGCCTGTGCTGATTGGTTAACCTGGTCCTCAGCTAAAAAAAAGTCAAGCTAAATTTACAGTCGAGCAGTGGCGTCCTGCTGGCAGCAATGAAATCCTCCCTGAAATACACCAGCTGCCCTCTCAGTCCTCCAGTCTTCCTGTGAGGTCAGACGAGGTGAGCTGATTTATTTACCGAGGCTAGCTTCTCCGCTGATAAAGCAGCTCATGATGATAAACCCGGCTGACAGAGTTCGGTCTGACGGAAACTTTGGATGAGAAAGAACTGAGCTCATTGGTATATTATGTGGTATTATAAATATTCTGTTTAAGTGCCTTCAATAAAAATGTATTAAGTTGGAGGTTGGAAGTCTTTGATGAAAAGATGTAGAATCAAGAGTCAAAAAAAACAACAGGACTTAAACCATCGAAGTATGTTTAACAGTGATACTGTTAGAGCCCGACTGATTCGATCAACCAGCCGATATTATTGTCTGATATTAGCTTATCCAGTGACTATCGGTATCGGTTAATCTTATCTCAGATATGCGCCAATATTACTAGATTTATTCATCAGTCAAACAGCATTTAATTTGAGTTTCAGTGTATTACACTAGCAGTTCTCTGTCACCAGCAGAGGGTGCTATATGGATTACAACAAACATTATCACTCTCAGGTGATGTCAGGCGGTAATGCACGCACATAAGCAGTTACTTTCCAGTTGAGTGACCATTTTGTCTTCTTTAAATATCTTTTCCACAAGTGTTTGATAACTGAATTTGAGGGATCATCACAATAAATGTGTTTATCTATATCTATCTATCTCTACAGATCGAAGATAGATCTAAGAAAGATATCGGCTGATTTATCTGTTTCAGATTTTTTCTCTCCCCAATATTGTTATTGTTATCAGCCCCAAAAGTCCCACATGGGTCAGACCTGAGATACTTTACCTGGTGATGTTGAGCAACAGGTTAGCCACGATGTTGTTCATGGCGTCAAAGGGCTTCTCTGCCCCGCTGAGCCCCCCCTGCCCTGAGATGACTGAGCTGTCCGTCTTGATCACAGAGCCCGGCTTTCCAATGTGAGACATTTGTTTTATCTTGTTCACAATGTCGACCAACGACTGCAGGAGGAGAAGGGGGGGGGGGGGGGAGTATTAAATCTGGGGTCTCTTTTATAAAACAGAGCGTAGAATCCATACTACGAGTGTACGTATACAAGTCAAGACCACACTAACCAAGACTAAGACATACCCGAGTCCAGAGTGCTCCAAGACAAGACTAAGATATTCAGGGATCAAGGCTGAGTCAAGACCAAGACCAAGACCATAAATATAAATGAAAAATCATCATCTTGTTCACAGGGGGCGTGTCACTCACTTAGAGCGTGACACAGGGAAGGTTGAGTCTGTAACCGGGGGATACAAATCTAATCATGATGAAGTTATAATGAAGTTTTTTGTTCTTTTAGAAAGAGGCTTTTTCCTTCTAATCACAGTGATATATATAGACTATCAGTGGTGGTCTTGTTTTAAAATCTGGAGGGCGCCTGGTCTGAAAACGAGACAAGGCTGCGTAAAAATGATTTAGATTCCGAGACCAGACTGAGAGCTTCAAAAAGTGGTTTCGATACAAGTATTGAGACCAAGACTGATTTTGAATACCACAACACTAACGTACAACAAAAACCTGAAGGTGTACGGTAAAAATGACTCATATTTGTAAAACAGGCGTACGCACAGCTGTGATGTCCCCTTTTTAAATCACAGCCCACATGAAAATGTGCGCCCGAGGATCAGCTCCATACACCGCCCTCTACACGCCCACATTCAACCTTACACGGTCAATGCAAAGTTCATCATGAATAAAAATGCATACAAACGAGTGGGCTGATCAAAGGTCTTCAGCGCTGGATCATTAGCCAGATTCAGGACGGAGAAAATAAACGTTCATGCAGTCGTCCTGCAGCGGCAACACATCATTATGAACGAGTATATCTTCAGTGTTTGTATGTTTTAAGGACCCACACGATAGATAGTTGTCATAATGCTCATGTCAGTCAACACTCCACGACATTATTCATCAAAAGCTTGATCGATGAACATAAATTTTACCAGTCAGGTTTATAGATCACAAACTTAGTGGTGATCTCAGTCTGTGCAGTCAGCAGGTTCGTTTGCAGAGAGACGGACTATTAAACCTGCACAGACCTGGTTTTCAACAGGAAGCACACAGTCAGCGTGCTCCGTCAGCTCCCTCATGGCCAGGATGCTGTTGTACGGAGACGTGATGACATCATCCTCTGCAGACGGATAGATGGAGGTGACGATCCGACACACCTCGGGGAACTCCTCCTCCAGCAGACCCAGCACTCTTGTACCCAGGCCTGAGCCCGTTCCTAACATTCAAAAACAATGGATTCACTTTCTGTTGTGGAAATGATACAAACTTACATTGGTGTTTTTTTAACGGTGTTTCAAATTTCACTTTTCAAGGTGAATGCTGCCCCCTGCTGGTTGAGAGTATAAAGTGAAAGGAAGTCGATGAAATTAAAATCTCAAATGTTATGAAGTTCAACCTGGAAGATGTCCGTCATATTCGACCTTCTCTGACTTCACAGCAGGCAAAATCTAACATGTACACAAAGATTTAATTCTCACATAACATCTGGTTTTACATCCTGGTCACATACGACAGCGAGCTCGTTAAAGAGCCCATATTCTGCCCTTTTTGGGGTTCGTGTATTTAATCTATGTAACTACTTTTGTACGTTCACAATAGCTGAAGTCCGAAAAAAGTGTCTGTTTTCATGTACTGCTCCTCCTTGCTCCCTCTACGCTCTGAGTCTGTCAGCTACGCTCTGCTGAGCCCACACTGTTAGACCCCACGTGGGTCAAGTCTGCTCTGATTGGTCTGCCGATCCGCTCTGTCGTTATTGGTCAGTTGCTCAGCACGGTTCTCGGAAAATGCCCGCCTCTTTTACCATATTGGGAATGCAGCCACTGGCTCCGTCCGAGCGGAGCATAAACATTAGCACTTAGCACTACTGTGCTACCGCAGGCTACGGCATATCGTGGGCGTGCTACAGAAGTTAACGGGCGTGCAACATGAGCTGCAGGGCTTGCCACAACGAGCCAATGGGCTTAGATCAGTGATCTCACACTGACAATGACGTCGGACTGACAAATTTTTATCGAGGGGGGCTAGAACTGAGCGTTACATGCAGCTAATGCTACAGCTAACAGGAGGACGTAGGAGAAGCTGCGTTTCAACATAGATGTGCCTAAACATGCACAGTACACATGGAAAACACACTAAAGGGCATATAAAACCAGAAAAAGCTGAATATGGGACCTTTAAAACAGATCAAGTCAACATTTTGGACACCAGATCTCATCATTTACACTACTGCAATATCATTAGTTAGAATAAGATTTCTTGTTTTTAAAGTTTGAATGGGCTACCCCTTCACCTTTACATTATTTTATCCAGAAAAAAGCTAACAACAGGATAAATAGCAGAGCACAAACTGGAGGACACTGTAATGTACCGAGGTGTAGAACTGAAGGTAGTCTGGGTCGCCCGTGGACAAGCGGTTAGTGCGCACACCCCAGGTTTGAATCCACTCTCTCTCTCCCTGATTTCTGACTTTATCTGCTGTCCTGTCTCTAAAATAAAGGAATGAAAAGCCCTAAAGATAAACCTTTAGAACTGAAGTTAGTCAGAAGGTGGCGTCTGTTAAATGACCAGCACATATCAGGGATTGAGACGACTACTTCACCTTTCAAAGAAAACTCACATTGGTAAAAACAAACATATAATATGTGTCCTCCACTTCATGGTGTCCGTTCTCGGGAGCTTCTGGATCATCCTGCGTTTTGAATGAGCTCATTGTCAGTGTGTCTGTTATTTCTTATGTGACTGATGTGTCCATTCTGTTTGTCAAACTGTCGGTGAGTTCTTCTGTGAGCTGTCCAGAAGACTGTAAATTGGTTTTACGTTATTGTCAGTAACTGTCTGAGGACTACGGATGAAGTTAAGCTTTTGTGCTAATTCCGGTATATTTACATCGTTGTGTACTGAACATGTTGTTTAATGTACACTGTCCTAATTCAATGTGTCTCTGCTTCTTATTTATGTCTGCAAACATGTTTATTTAGAGACGCTCCCATTATTTTACTTTAAAACCCTTATTGGCTGATACCAATGTTTGCTTCTATCATTGTGTACCTTTAATTTGTTGTTTTGCGAGTGATCAGTTTGAATTTTCTCTCCAGTGTCCAGAGCATCCAGACTGAGATGACACTGTAACAAAAATCTGATTTGGGCTGTCAGATATGCTGCGTTCCATTGTACTCGGAACTCGGGGGAAAAAAAATGACCTCTGACTCAGTAAAGTTCAATGCAGCAGCTATTCAAGTCGGAATTTCAAATCAGAAACTATAGGGCAAACACTAACAGGTAAGCAGAATGATCGTTCGTCAATTATTAACTCAGATTGGATGTCAGAAAAACCGACACGGAATTATCGTCTTCCGACTTGCAATTGAACGCAGCATATGAACAAGGTCAACAAATATGCGGCTTACCTCCTCCCATGGAGTGGATGAGAAAGAAGCACTGCAGACAGTCACAGTGTTCTGCTGCCTTCCTCAGCTTGTCCACGATCTGCTCCCTGTAGGCTGAGCCGTACGTCATGTGTCCAACGGCCCTGAAGAACAAGCAGCACGTCGTTCATATTCTGAGCTACATGTATTGATTCATCTTCATTTATTTAAACATTAATTAACCAGGAGAGAAACTCATTAAGATTAAAAATCTCTTGGTCAAGAGTGTCCTGGCAGAGTACCACACACACATACAAATACAAAAAAAAGACCCTATTAGACATTAACAGACATAATTAACTCATTTAAATATGCAAATGTTTGTTAAGAAGATCGTTCAAAAGATAATACAGTGGTCTCCTCTCAGGCAGCAAGTCCTGGAGCACGCAAATCACTGAAGCCAAATTTATTTTGGTGCAAAGGAACGTTTCAACACACTGCGTCTTCCTTCCTCAGAGTCCAAACCAGGAAGACGCAGTGCCTCCAGTGGTTTGTATGCTCCAGTACGTTCTTTGGATCCTGCCTGAGAGAAGGAGTCCACTGAATTATATTTCTACGGTCCTTCTCTGAGAGCAGCAGCCTCTGTTTGTGGAGCATCTGAAAAGTTTCCTTGTAGTTTGTTAACATCGCCCACAAACATATCAGGGAGATCATCTACATCCAGATGTGTCCGCCTCCAAGTCATTTAACTTCCTCTTAAAAGCATCCAATCAGAGCAGCTCGTTAAACCTCAGCTCTTTTTGTGATTGGTTCAAAGTAAAGGGAGCAGCAAACTGAAACACCTTTTTCCCCAGTTCACTTCTGACTTTTGGAACAGACGGTAAGAAAAGATGCTGAGTTCATGTTTAAAGTTGGAGCTGAACAACTGGTCTGTTTGAATGGGGCTTTAATTTTCACTGGAGGAATGTAAAAGCTTTTGGGGGGCTCTGCCCGACATCCTCGTCATCCTCGTCATCCTCCTTTTGGTATCATGCAAACAGCTCTCCACTCCTAAAAACTCCACCCCTAACTAAACTAAACTCCATTGTGAAGTTCACCACACTCACTGGTGATCTGGTTTGTCTTTTAAACAGAATTTCAAAAAATACATATTTTGTAGTCCAAATGACCAACAGGTTCTAAGAAAAAACTACCTCAAGTCGATCGCTTACAACAGTTGCAGCTATTACAACAAAACAGCTGGATGGCTGCAACTTCCTTCTTGGGTTTAAAATACCTGATCAGACTACGGCAATGAGTATACTTCGTCGGCCTCGTCAATCGTCCTCAGAAATTAACGCTATTCGTTCGCACTACTAACAGTATAAGGTTGTAATACTGAAGAAGCCAGAAATGACATCGGAGACACCAGAAAGCTACAACAACAACAGCAAAAAGTTAATAGATCAAACCTGCAACTACCCACACTAAGACGTGTCATTGCCGTTGCATAGCAACAAACATGCATGCCAAAATAGCTGGTGACAGATCATCTCTACATCGTCTGATTTTATGAGGTGCTCCCTCTAGAGGAATCCTCCAGTAACACGCGTTGTACATCAGTAAGTGTGTGAACATTTACGTTCACGACGCAGCAGGTTGTTTACATGTACGCGTGTTTGAAAAGAAAGAATATTTGAGCCTGAAGGGTTTCTAACATCACTACAGAAAGGAACTGTAGATATAGGTCACTATATTTTATCAGACTTTTAGACTTAGACTTATTTTAGACTTTGTGGTTTGAAATGATTATTAGTGCTCATGAGGGTTTGGGTCTTTGTAGAGAATATAACAAGGAGTAAGGTCTTCTACCTGCTAATACTAATAAAGATTGATTGATAATTGGACGAAACACCAGAGGGGAGGGTCCCTCTTGGTAACCCCGGTGATGTCCGGGCTCTGGCTGCCCATCAGTCTACATGGTCGAGATGTGGGGGGGCTGAGGGTGCCGTTTGGTAGGGTAGGTAGTATCAGCGTTGTCACTACCTGGATCTTACATGTATTGATCCTGAGTCTGTTAAAGCTGGCAACGCTGTTTGGGTTGCCATGGTGACTAAGGGCCATAGGGTAGGTTCTGTAACTTATCAGAGGAGCATGGTGCCATCATCAGGATCAGGGGGGTCTTCACTGAGACTTCAAAGTACTTCAAATGGACTTGTTTCGCCAGAAGATCACATTATAGATATACTAACAGCGTGTCCTATGGAAGCAGTCTATAGGACCATTACAAAACGTATTAACCCTTTCAGTTATTTGGACCCCAACATGTGTTCCAATAGGGCCCAGCTACACAAAACATTGATTTGTAACAGTTGCCCCCGGCCATGTGAGCTGACGTCCTGTGGTTCGTCTGTCTCTCACCAGTTGTTGCCTGAACCCGACACGTCTGTGAGGAGCTGCGTGCTGTCGAAAACTTCTCTCAACGGGCCCTGTAGGATCTCATTGACCACACCCTCCTCCATGTCCACCAGCACCGCCTGTGGATTCAAATATGCAATTATGAGGCCAGCACGTATATTGCATTGCTCTTTGACCCCCCCCCGGTCTTCATTCCATAAATCCTTTTTGTAACCTTAACCAATGAATGCCAAAGCTTTCGACACAGAATCCCCTGCCTGACCTTGACCCTGACTCTGAAGTGTTACATCTGGGAAGCCTACAAGATGAAAAACTGTTTCCTGGTAAAGGCGAGAACTTACCCTGGCCTTCAGATGTTGGATCCTCCCACCAACACAGCAGGATCCCCCGTCACGTTTCCTAGAAAAGCCCAGCATATAGAAAATCGTCAACATAAAGAGGACTATTTTAAGGAGGAACAGGAATAAGTGGTTAAAAACAGAAGAGATTACCTTGAGTCCACGTTTCGGAAAAAACTACTGAGGGCCTCATCGTACACTCCTTTCTGATGAGGAAAAAAACAAAGATGTGTTACAAGGGATGAGTTTACTGTAGATGTGACCATAAAAAAAGTCTGTTTTCAACCAATAATGTGTGTGAGATTATCTTCCAGGGCTGCACCTGAGATATATTTCATCAAACTGTATTTGATTATAAGTTACAGTTAAAAAAATGTTTTGTCTTTATTGCCAGAAACCAACATAAGATATCATTTTAAAACACTCGGCAAAAGATTTTAAAAAACTGTGCTTGATGATGGAAATGATGGATCGTTCATGAAGTTCTGTCCGAGGAATAACTTTCATCTGTTCGACGTGTATCCCACTGAAAGGCGCTAGATGTCCAACAGAACAGGGACAAACCGATTTAAAGGCAGGGATGGTTTATTTTTTCGAAAGCTAGTATTATTTAAAAGTAGCATTCCCTCAGTGCTCAGTCTACACCTCCTCCCCTCTGTGCTCCCTAAAAGGCCACGCCCCTCACTTACATGCTCATCTCTTACATTGTGTATAAACTACGTCATCCATGTCTCATTCAGCAGTAAGTAAACTCACAGTATAAACTCCGTCATCGGTGATGCTCTTTGAGTGTGGGTTAGTGCATGTAAGGGGTAGAGAATGAGCAGGGAGGCGTGTGATTGGTTCATCAGATTGGTCCCTCATGGCAGACATTGGTTGAAGTTTTTACAGACTTATAACTGCTACAGATGACAGATTTTCTTTGTTCCTGTTTCAGTGAACATGAATTATTAATTTCTGTCAGGACCTAAAGACAATTTCAACCAAGATCTTAAAAAGTGGATCTGGAGGAAATGACCAACCCTGCCTTTAAGGACAGTTTCTTTCCCAGAGCCACAACCACACTGAACTCAAACATGCACTGACCCTCCAATGCATCACCCTTCCTCTCTTATTCACCTACTTATACTTTTGCAATAATATCCATCCATCACTGCTTTTTTTCCGATCGCAGGGGGCTGGAGCTGATTTCAGCTGTCACTGGGTGAGAGGCGGAGTTACACCCTGAACTAGTCACCAGTCAATCACAGTACTGACATATAGAGTCAGACAACCAGCCACTCACATTCACATTTAGGAGCAATTTAGAGTCACTAATTAACCTAACGAGCATGTGTTTGGACTGTGGGAGGAAGACGGAGTACCCGGAGAGAACCCACACATGCAAACTCCACACAGAGAGACTCCTGTCAGATGGGGATTCAAACCAGGAACCTCCTCACTGTGAGGCAACCGCACTAACCACTGAACCACTGAACCACTGAACCACCGTGCAGCCCACTGTGTATTATATATATATTTATTCATTTACCTACTTCTATTCATACACTTTCCACCTGAGCGTCAGAGCATACATAGATTTTTACCTTTATCATATTTTTCTAAAGCAGAAAAAACATTTCTTACCGTTGTAATATTTACATTTCTGACTGTGCAATTAACTTATATTCTTCATTTGTGGCAAACTACTTTTGACTGTGTAATATACGTACATCATTTGCTGTAAATATTTTCTACACAGACATCGTCCCTCTCTTCTTTCTAACTGATGACTGAGAAGAAGGTAATACATAGTAAGAGTTCTTTTTGAATATGTTCCTATATAACACCCCTTTTATAACAGCTATAACTTCAACTTCAACCTTCAACTAGCAATTGAGAGTCATGGTAAAATGCAGTGAACGTGTACGTTAAGGACATTTCAAATTGTCTTGTACTGCAGTCCTTTAAAACATGCAATGTTATAGTGTAAACAGATGTGTGGTGAGCTGAATGTGTTTGACTCAGCTTTCTACATCAGTGTGTTGTGTGTATTTGGAACAAACATCCTGCAGAAACATTTATTTTAAGAGCTGTCATTGCTTTTCTTTCTTCATCTGTGAGTGTGTGTTCATGTACAGTTGGTGTATGGTCCTGTGTGAGCCCTCAAGTAGAAACAGGTGTGTGTGTGTGTGTGTGTGTGTGTGTGTGTGTGTGTGTGTGTGTGTGTCAGTGTTGTATGGGATGATGCAGAGTCCTTTTATAAATGTGTTTGGATTTCATGTGTTTTTAAACCTATTTGTTATATTTCTGTTCTGATATTATATTGTGTTTGTTTATTTCTGTCTTCTGTAAAGCATATTGAGTTCACATGTGTATTAAATGTGCTGAAAGCAATACAAATAAAATATAACATTTGACACTTACTTTATTGACATGGGCATGTTCCCGTAAAGCAAGATCCCAAAACCTGCAGCCGACCTGGTTTCCACACTGTCCCACTGGAGAACACGGATTTAAACATTAGACAGCATAACTGAATAAATAAATATTATACAATTTATAGCTGAAATCTCAAAATCAAGCACAACACTTCCTGTTATTGTTTTTCTTTTTTTTTAACGTTACTGTTTAATCAGTTATCTCAGTAGTTTTAATCACCTTGGACGACGACTGACTGTGTCATTGCAGCAGGAACACAAATATATTCCCATAAAGGTGACCTATATCATATTTAATCTTCACATCTTTCCCGCATTTACCCGTCAAAACGAGTTTTAAAAAAACTTTTTGAACGCTTCTTCAGACTGGCGCACTCACTTTGTTTGGTCGAGCTTTGATGACGTATCACCATGGAGACGGTGTAGCTGTGTGTCTCGAGAGCGAGCTGCAGCCCCTGGCCTGACTGTAGGACAGGAGCATACGACAGGAGTGATTATCAAAAGGTTTTTTCCGGAAACAAATCTTAACAAGGCCAATTCAAATGTATGGTAAAATTACAATAAAATAATTTAATGACAAATTTTTAATCAACGTAAATTGCGAACTTCAAAAAAAACTTAAGGCATTACATTTACAGTCTGTGCCTCACCCACAGTAAGCCTAATTATTTTTGATTAAACGTTAAAAAAATGTCTTTTATAATTATTCATCAGTGTTACCAAGTCAAATCCTTTTAAATTAAATTAAAAAAAAAGATATTAATCCCTGAGACTGTTATTCGTCTACTCTGGAAATGTGTACACTTACATACTCGTAAGATATTTGTAGATTTATTTTACATAGCCTATCATTATTTGTAGTTTTAAACTTATTTTGGAAAATGTGTGGTTTTTTTTTGGTCACTTGAATTTCAATGTGACACATACGAATACATATTTTATTATAAATCTCATATTATTTCTAGCAAAGTGAAGGGAGCTCAAATTCACACTTTTAATAGTTTAAATTATTTTTTTTAAGATTTCATAAATTATGTTTTAAATTAAATTTAATTAAATTTAATTTAATTTTAAATCTAAACTGATATATATATATACATATATATGTATATATATATATGAAAATATTCTAGGCTATACTGTATATTATAATATTCTAAAATATTGTAATTCATCTCCAAATAATCCTAGAAAAAAAGAGGATTGGACTTGAGCTTGTTAATGATTCCACTTGCCATACTTTTCTCTTATTTTACTATTTTAATTATGTAAATACATATTCTTTATGATGTATTGTGATGAGTATCCACTGGGACCATAGACTGTAAATATTACTGACTGGGACTGATGATTTGTGTAACACGAGCGCCCTCTGCTGGAGCTCCTGCAGGCTTGAGCGGTGCAGCCCACTGTGTCGTTGCCTGTCTGCACTATGCTGTATCCCTGATAAGTTAGTGTTTAGCTCCCCTAAAAGTACTCATAAATAAGTGCTCAATTATTTTTTTATATATTTTAGCAATGTTGGAGCTTATTACTACAACAGTGGCTGTGAGAGGCCCTTTACTGTATATGTTTCTGTTGTTATCAGAATAAACGGCGTTCTGGTGCCAAAAGTAAAAGTTTATGGCTAAATCATTACACAACGCAAGAGGGAGTACACAACTGTTACATTTACATCGTGCTTTTCTGATCTCCTGACTACTCAAAGCACTTTCACACTGCAGGTCACACCTACACATTCACACACTGATGGTATAGGTTACTTTGTAAAGTGACCATCAGTTTTATCATATCCATTCAGACGCTGACGACGAAGCAGCGGGAGCAACTTGTGGGTCAGTGTCTGGACCATCGGACATGTGGCTGCCAACCTTCGATCTTAAAAATGAAGGCAATGTGGAAGAGCAAAATCTTGCAGTTTGTCGAGTGTCTGCTTGAGGCTGGCTCCAGGAACCCCTGAAGTCAAACACAACAGCAGGAAAAAAAACAGTTTTTAAAGCATAAATAAACATGTTTACAGCCTGGTACAAAAAACGAAATAGGACTGATAAGTTAGTGTCATCATGGACACACACTGTTCGGGAGTGATTTTTTTTTAACGGCTCCGTTTTGATTTCATGAAGGATACGTGTTATCCATAGTTAGGCACGTAGCTGACATGATTGACAGGTGGGTGCAATGTAACAGTTTGTCAAGAGGCTTAAAACTTGCCTCAGCTTCGGCTCTCAGCCTGTCGATGTCGTTAGGCTGAGACAGCATTACCAGCATGGTGGCTGCTGCCGTTAATACTTCGGAGCCCCCTGCAGTAACAGCTGACTGAAATCACTCAGGCTTGGTCCTTTTATATTTACAGTCTATATCGTGGCTTCAGGAGCTGGGGATTGAACCCCCAGCCTTCCGGTTAAGAGATGACCAAAAACAATAAGATGGTTGTAAAATACTTTTTATTCATCAGAAATAAAAGAGTTAAAAAGAGACAGTTCTGAACATGGTTTTGTATAAAACCTGTGATGCTGAGATTATAAAGCTGGCTCGTGGAGCATAACTTGCACCAGTAGAGCGATCAAATCTGTCTTTCATATTGTTCACTGTAAAATGTTTCTAAGCAGAAGAAACGGATAAACTGTAGGCCCCTTCGGCTGGCTCATAACCTTTACTTTCATCACATTTTAATTCTCCGGTTGTGTTCCTTTAGGTGTTTCTTTTTAATTTGGACAATTTGGTCATATTTTTTGCATGCAACACTTTCATGTAAAACAACAAAGAAGAATGAATCAGAATAAAAGACAAGAAGACAAACATCAGACGAAGAGTGACACTTCTCTTAATGGGTATGTTTAGCACAAAGAGAGTTGTTAAATGTATTTTGGTCAGTGCTATGTTTGGGGTTCAGGATGTTGTCATGCTGCGGGACACGCTCCAACGCCGACTGCTCCGCTGACCAGCACAGCTTTACTGAAGCTCACTTGGTTGTTGTCGATGGTCAGGTTCCTCATGCAGCCCACGTAGGGCCTCCTGGTGGAGAGGCTCTCCGGGAGGACGAGGTCTGAGAGAAGGGAAAGAGGAGCACAAGATGAGCGTAAAGAACTGTTGGCATGAGAGTAAAGAAATGTGGTCATTTCTAACCTGGAGCTCCACCGATGAACACCGGCTTCTTGAAGTCTAAGGCGCTGGGGTTCAGGGGTCCCATCACATGGTTGACTTCAGAGTCCACAACCAGCTGGATAATATTGGCATCTCGGATCACTGAGATAATGCAGGACAGGAATGGAAATGTTAATTTTCTCAGCTTTTCATTGTACATATTAAAGGAGCAATCAGTAAGATATCTATTGAATGAAATGATAAAGGTATCTTACTATATGATCAGACATTAATGAAACATGCTATGTTGAAGCTTCTCTGACAACAATGCAGCAGCCAGTATGTCCTCCTTCTAACTTTAGATTCTGCTCCTGAATGCTCTGGATTTGTTTGGACCAGAGAAGGTAGGTGGTTTTAAGACACCCCCACACGGCCGTTTTGGACGCCCCTCGGTTTGCCAGATATGAGAGCAGTTATCAGGTCAACAGGTGTTGCAGTGATGGAAGCGGTCAAGAGAAGTGGTTCAGATAGAAGTGATTGTACCCGACCTAAAAAGCCTCTGCATGTTTCTAATAAGCTCCACGAGCAGAAACGTGCTCAAACTAGGATCAATATTGGAGATGATTTTGGAAAAAGGAGAGAGGTTAGAACACAGAAAGGTTTACAGACCCATGCAGAGCTGGATAAACACTGAAGCTACAGTGTCCAAGAAATGGTAACCTATCAGGGGAATTCTCGTATATTTGAACTAAGGCTACAAAATAAATAATAAAAATATTAATGTTTTAATTTGATGTTTGTTGTGAAGAAAATGAAATCGTTAAGTACAATCTAGCAATACAGGTGTATTAAATCAATACCACATCAACATTTCATACCCATGTGACCCTGTTATCCACCTATGTCTGTGCGCATGTGTCTGGGTGGTGGAGCGAGGGAAGAGAGAGAGAACGGAAGTGAGTGTATGTATTCAGTTTAACGATGTGTGAGTAACGTTGTTGATGCCGGGGACAGAACAGAGAAACGAGTTAACAGTCGCTGTAAGAGCAAAGTGGATGAGCAGTTTGAGCTCTGTGTGTGAGAAAAAATTCTCCGACTCCTGAAGAAACAAGCCGTGCTCTCTTTGTCTGCTAGAGGCTGCTCGGTGAAAGTGATGGGGATTAGCCCCAAAGTCAAGAGCTAAAACTCCCAATAAGTGTTGCCTGTGCGCTCTAACCACTGTCAATGCCGAAGCAGGAAAGGTTAACAGTAATCCCAAAATAAATATCAAAACAATAACCCAAACACCCAAAATATAACCCTTTTCATACCATAACCTTACAAATGACACTTTAATTTTATTCAAGGCTCCTTATTTTTTAAAGTTATAAAAATAATGGATGACCCTCCAGAAAAGACGTCAAATAAGACCAATACATTATAGTCATTGAAGCCCCCTTCAGCCTTCCAGTGTTTTCCTCTTGATGTGTCTCTTTACGGTCTTTCAGGGTATTAAATCTGAACTCTCACCGGTGATTTTGTGCCAGTTGCCATCACACAAACCCTGTTTGGGTGACACCTTTGTGCTGAGCTCATCCGACCCGTCCTTGACTACGATCCCCACCTGAGAACAAGCACGATGGTTTTATTTAAACATTGTGATTGGATGATGCATTCCTTATAACATGGCCTCAATGTGTGAAGCCTGCTGCATCGCCATGTCAGTGACAAACCTTTCCTTGATGGAGGTACAAAGTGAAATTGCCCTCTGCTGTCGGCACATGCAGTAGCACCCCAGATGCCACACGGGGGCGTACCTCCATCACCAACTGGAACTTCAGCCCGAGGCTGAATGATTCATCTGATGGAGAGAAGCAGAAAGAGAGAGAGGTAGATAGAGTGAGTGCTGGTGCCTTATCTGCTCCGGGCCTCACCTTTTCAACACATTAATCAGACGTGACTCTCAGCGGTGAATGTACGTGTGAAATTACTGGACTGGTCCAGCAGCTGCAGCCGAGTTCCCAAGTTCTTTTGGGGCCTTACCCTCCTCTCTTTCCAGTTTCCAGAGTTTCACCACAGCTGCACTGAGGGTATCATGTTCCCTCGCCCCAACCAAACTCTCCCCGTGCACTCGGGGATGGTGAAAGAGCAGAGAGGGGGCTCAGAGAGGAAATCTAACGAGCCGTGTAATATAACAGATGTTCAGTTTGCACAGAGCTGCAGCTCCTGCCAAATGTACATTGTGTTACATTTGGGACGAGAAACCTCAAATTCCTCAGTGTAAGTCTGAAGCCAAAGAAAAATCAAGAAGTATACCTAACACGACGTAGCCTCCTTCCTCTGAGAAGTACGTCCCAGCCTCGGAGCGCCCCTCGAAGCATGGAGTGACCCCGAAAGTCTCCACCTTGGAGGAGAGCCACTGCCCGTCCAGCTGAAGGTCCTTCAAGCAGCCATTGAAGCTGTGCAGAGAGTTTCTCTGCAGGGACACACATGGAAGCACATGTGAACGTTGGAATGTAAAGGATGGAAGAAGACTCTGAGGACTCTGGCACAGTTCAATACCTCCTCTGGTTGAATGTTCCAGTATCAAACATTACACAGACAGAGTCAATGCTAAGCTGGTTAATGTGGTGGAGCATTCGGCTGCAAATGAGATTATGCTGAGAAAAATTAGGCAACATAATCCTTAGTAGAAAATACATCCCATCAAGGTGCATTCACTAAATAAGTTTATTTTTTATATATTACAGGCCGAGATTGTTTCCAAAAGTTTTTCAAACAAATCAAACAGGTTCTGTGCAGACATAGACAGATAGTTAAAGTATTTCATTAAAGACTACAAGGCAAAAACAGAAGGTCTTTAAAGCGGCCAGACTCCTTTATCAAATCAGTCGTTTCACCTCACAGAGCCAGAGTAGCTGCTCTCTCTCTCTCTCTTTGTTTATCTGTTGATTTGTTTGTGTTGTGCATGTTGTTAAAATCCCGTGCTACATGCTAACTCTTTAAAAATAGCAAATTTACACTGTAACACAAACATACACACCTATCAAGGACAAACTAGACTTACTCCTTAAGGTAAAAAAAAACTGTTTTGTCAATAGTTTCTTTTTAATGTGACACCTTACTCTTTGACTAAATGTCTGGCTCTGTTGGGACCCTTTTTTCTTTCTTTCTTTAAGAATAACAATCTGAGCCCATCACTAGTGAAAACAAGTTATTTTAATGAGAATCCTTGATCAGGTGGATTTTCCCAGAATGATCATGTTGTAGCCAGTTGAAGAAATCTCATTTCCTGTTTGTGATTTAGTGCCTGAAATGTGTAACAATAGTGCCAAGGTATGAACAACAGAACTGTAGTGTCGTTATAATTTAATGTGAACAAAAACATGAAGCTTCTTGTGATTATTACGTCTTTAAAAAAAACTGATATGATGCTTCTGGAGGGTTCAGGGTGTTTAAGAGTCATAGCTGTGGTTTCCTGCTGTGTCTGTCTGTGAGAACAGCCAGACACAGCAGGATGTGTTCTCAGTCTGACTCCGTGGTTATGTTAGGTTCATTAGAGGTTTTAATGAGTTTGAGGCATTCTGTGTTTTTATTTTGAACATTATCGTCTCCACATGAACGTCGACCTGTACCTGGATATTCTTCTGCGCTCTCTCTGGAGGAACTCCTCCCACGTAGAAGGGACTGCTGACATACCAGGAGACGTTGCTTCCCTGCACTCTGTCTTCCAGTACTGTGAGCCCATCAATTATTAACCGCCCCGTACTTCCATCGCGGATAAAAATAATCTTCAGCGGGGAGAGGAGAGAGAGGAGCTTGTCACTGCAGAAATTGTTGACACATAACCAAACATGCAATCCGGCCATGCGTGCGTGCAGATTGAAAGAAACTTACATTGTGCCACGCGCCGTCATTGTAGCTCCCCTCGCTCCTCACTTTCACCCTTTGGTCTGCTACATTGAAGGTGTATACAAGCTTCCCGTGGGCCAGGAAGAGAGCCATGAAGTTGTCTTCTTGGACATCAGATACATAAAAGATGAGGCCAGAGGATGAGTGCGTCTTCAGGGAGAGGGAGAAGTGGGACCTGGGAGGTGGAAGGTGCGTTAAGTCATGCGTGCAGACACAAAGAAATCCTTGAAAGAGGACACGTGCAGAGTGAGCTTTAAAAATACCTGACCTTTCAGGTTTCTCTTAAAGGACTTCTTTGCGTTCACGTACCGTTCAGAGAAGGTTTCTGGGATGTCTGTGTACTGCTGCCTGCTGTCAGCGATGCCGCCGTAGTGGAAGGCTTGGCGGGTCGCTCTGGGACTCGAGGAGAGGTAACAGGGCTCGATGTTCGCCTCTGATGGCTCCTGGTCATCACTCCTCAGCTCCGTCAGTCCCAGAGGGAGGCTAGATGGATCCCTGCTGACCTAGAAGAGGGGTTGTATGTCAGGAAGGCTCAAGTCTCCAAAAAGGGGGGATTCATTCTCCATATTCACAGCAAGCGGCCGAGTGGCTTTAACACCAGAAAGTTTAAAGTAGTTTTTTTTTTTTTTTTTTATGCCTTTAATGTCAGAGATGGGACAGAAATCAGGGAGAGAGAGAGAGAGGGATGACATGTTGCAAAGGAGCCACAGGTCAGAATCTAACCCGGGCTGCTTGCTTGGAGGACTATTGGTACGTTCCATTTGATCTCGGAAGTCGGAAATTCTGAGAAAACAAAGGTACTCCTGGAGGCGTCCATGTTGCTTTTCTGACTTGCAACTGGAATGCTGTTAACTCGGGTGTGATGTCATTCCCAGCTCAGAGTTTTGAGGTAAATGGAACGCAGCATACTGTAGATCTGCCATAGATGGGGCACACTCTCTAACCACTAGGCTACCAGCGCCCCCAAAATGCATGTTTTTAATTCCATTGTTTTGCATTAAAAAAAGGTTTTTGTTATGCTTTTATTTTGTATTTTTGTACTGCCTTAAGCTGAGGATACTGTTGAATTCTAACATGCTTTTATTTTGAAATAAAGCAAAGCCCTTCTGGTAGATTAAAGGTGAAGATGGATATGTTGATCATACTCTTTTGTTTTCATTCTACCTGTGATTGGTTCTGTCTGGCTCGAGAAGTGTGGTCCCTGTGCCGTGCCAGCAGAGCAGCTGGGGGACGTTGGACCGGACAGTCCTGCAGAGAGGTCTGGACATTTTCTGTGTAGCGCTGGAAGTCCTCAGGCTCGATGTCCCGGTCCTGTCTGCAGGAACAGAGAGAGACACAGGGAAGCTGCTGAAACGCTCACATAAACACCGGCATGTCTCGACAGACAGACTCTTGGTTTGGTCATTAATCCTACTTTTCAAAATCTGATGACCCTTGTTATGAAGCGTTTAGCAGGATCTAAGGAAAGGTCAAACAGACATGAGACTTTTATAAAGGAAACACAAACATCAGTTTTTTATTTCACATTTTGCTACTACTATTGCAAACTTGAGTCCTGCAAGTGCAAGAATAAGAGGAGTAAATCAGAACTAATACGTCTAGGCTCAGAGCCACTGCACACGCTGCCATATCTTCAGAGTTGGGGGAACATGTTGCCATAGCAACAACATGGATGTAGCTCCCCGCTTACAGCCTTATTTTTGAGTTCCTCAAGAGGGACAGAGAGTATAGTATACATGCTGAGCAGAGCCAGACCCTCCATAAAGCGCTGAAATAAACAAGACAGTTCTGTCAGGTATGAGCTTGTCATCTGCTGTAGTGACAGGTGACTCTTTACCTGTTGATGTAAGCGTTGCTGATGCAACCGGTGAAGTTCTTGAAGCTGCTGCTCGGAGACCCTCCGTAGTAGAAAGTCTTCACGGCAGGACCCGAGGATGATCTGGTGGCTGAGGATGGACGTTTCTTCTCCTGCTTGTCTTTGTCGTCCACCAGCACCGAATACCTGAGAACAGTTCAGCAGGTCAACTCAACAGTGCACCGTCTTTTCAGACTTATTTTTACAGCAAACCACCCCTCACATATTCCACCATCTGTCTACCAACCCACCATCATGCCTGTCTGCAGCCTATTTCATAAACGTACCCAGAAGTTTTCATTAAATGTACCTAATATATGTGCAAAGTTAGTGAGTAACTTTCCGTTTTTGGCTCTGGCATGGATTTAGGAGATCTGCATTTGACAATTATTGAATTCTCGAGATGTGTGCTGAACTTTCAGAGTGCTTAACAAGCTGTAATGTCCTGATCGAAGCCTGCTCTAAGTCTTTTGCCTTAATTAATCAAGATATGTTTTCAGTCACAGCATAGTTCCTAAATGTTGTCTTTTATGATTATATATATGTTGTGTTGTTGATACTTTACAAGTTTTAATACTTTGGTTATATGTCATGGGAACTCCAAATTTAAAGGTCTTCTCCCATACTCTCTGCTAACTCGGGTACATTTACATCAGTCTGAATGTTGATTCATGTGCACTGTCCGTCATTGAATGAATAAATAAATTAAATATGTCTGCAGTTCTGTATGTGACTTCCTGTGCTCCTGTAGCCGGCCTCAAGTGGACACTCGACGAACTGCAGGATTTTTCACTCCCGCATTGGCTTCATTTTTTAACACTGGAGGTTGCTGCTTGAGTATTAATTGTGTATGCACACACAAATTATTTGATTAAATGTATGAAATGCTTGTAATGGCTATGTCACACACTTTGATTTGCCGAGTGTCTTAAAGGTGCCATACAAATAAACTTGCCTTCATATACTTCACTAAATTCTTTACATTTTGAGGAAAAATCGGCTTATTAAACTGAAAGGTCAACACAGGACTTCAAAGCTGAACCCTGCAGCTGTGAAACTAAATACTCACTTCTGATTGTTCACTGAAGCCACCAAGAAATGTGTCCTTCCATCATTGTATTTCTTATGGGATTTGACCCGTGTGCCTCTGCAGTTCATCACCACAGCTCCGTTCTCCACAGTGATACTGAACTCATCGGACTGAGGAGGGAGAAAAAAACATGAAGATTCTTTATTCAGCAGGTACGAGTAAACAACAAATAGAATGTCTGGCATTGTGCACTCTCTAAAAATAAGACATATGTACCCCATCACTGTGGTAAAAGAGGAGTCCGCTGGGCTGCAGAGTTCTGAAGTTGATTCCTCCCTCAAAACTGTCGAAGGGTGAAAACTTTGCTGTGGATCCCAGGTAGCTCTCTCCAGTGAAATAAGCTTTACGGGACATCTGTCACAATAAAAAACACATTTCACTTTCTATTACTTCCATTACCTTCACTCTCTGCGCGGCTTACAGTTCAGTGATCCCAAAATGGTAATATCGATTGACTCATGTGAAAGCTGTTGAGCTGGAACAACCAATTATTTTCTCTCACTCGGCTGTGTTAGCTCGTGTTTGTGTGCAGTTTAAGTTTCATCCATATTAGCAGCCATGAAGCTCATTATCGCTGACGGAGTGTGAACCTGCGGGGAGCACTTACAAATGACTCCTCAGGGCAGCCGCTGCTGATGCCGATGGTGCCGGGCTCCTCCAACAGGTTGAAGTCTTTTTTCTGGAACTGGAAACCTTTCACGCAGCCTTTCAGGCCCACGACGGCAGACAGCTCCGGCCTGTTGGGAAAACTGTACTGTCAGAATCCTGTGGTGGCCTCTCTGAGCTGCCCTACACCAGATATCTGTCTAGGTGGCATCTTTAATTCAGCTGCAAAATGATAAATGGTAAATGGGATGGAGATTGTGTTGCGATTTTCTGGTCTTCTGACTACTCAAAGTGCTTTTACACCGCATGTCACACCTACACATTCAAACCAGGATGGCTGAGGTTGTTTTGTAAAGTGACCAACATAAGTAACTAATCCCATTCATAGACATTTATACGGCGCTCACAAAGCAGTGGGAGCTTCTTAGGGTTAAGTGTCTTGCCCAAGGAAACATCGGACATATTGCAGCAGGAGCTGGGGATTAAACCCCTGATTCTACCAAAACAGCCACAGCCAAAGATGTTCCTTTAATCCATACAGTTGTGTAACGTGTCTGCAAGAAAATAAGAAGCAGTGGTCTGAACTTTAAAGACCAGAGTCAGATCATCCATCCACAAACGCTCTCAATTTACACCCGCATGCCGATGACACACAGCTCTACTTCAGCTCCAAACCATCCGCTCTCTGGTCAACTGCCTGCAAAAACATTCAACCCTGCATGTCAACCAATTTCCACAAACTCAATAACAATAAAACCAAGGTCATGGTTGTTGCCTCCCAAGATACTGATCAGGAACGTTTGAGATATCTTACTGGAAGTTGACGGTTGCTCCATCCGCCCATCCTCTGAGGTCTGGCATCATCCTTGACTCAACTATTAAATGCTTAAATTTAAAGCTACTATTTCATTTTTTAAGAGCAGAAATATGTTCACTTTTAGATAGCTAGTTGATAGCACATTGTCTGCTGGTCGACAGGGTCTGGATATAAAGACAACTGTTGGTCTGCCTGTTTGCTTCAACAGTGCTAACAGTGATGTATCTCAAAACTGATCACAACATTGTCAGCGGAAACATGCTAAAAAGGTTGGTTCATTGAAAACGAGTGTAAATGGATGTTTGGTTGCATCAATATTGATCTCACCTGGATTTGAGAATGCTGGAGGGAGCGCCTCCTATGTGGATATCAGTGAAAGGTAGAGTGGTTTTTGGATTCTCTAAAGATTTAATATGGCTCTTATCCACCAGGAGGATCACCTTCTTTGACTGATGGTAGATCACAGATACCTGTGGAAACAGACCAACACTGCTGTTACAGCGACACCTAACTCTTGTACAAGTTGGAAAAAAGGCCTTAAAAGAGAAGATCAATCCTACCTCGTGGTATCTTGCATCATTTATTTTGAGTTTTGGTGTTTTATCCTCAAAAACGATTGGCCCACTGCTGAAGCCAAAGTCGTACATCAGGCGCAGGTAGCCATCCTTTAACTCTAAGAGGAAGAATTTGTCCTGGAAAAAAAAGGATTAAGAATACACAAGATAGAGAGAATAAATGTTGAACATGCAGTTAAAACGTTTCAGTTTTTCCTATGTCCAGTAAAGGTTTCTCTTTGGGCCCCTCACCACAGCCTCAGTCAACTTTATGATAATACTATAAGACACCCCTGTATTACACAAATGACCCATTGAAAGATTTAAATTAAGGTTTCAGCTAATCCTTTTTGATACCACACATCGTACAATAACAATCTCTTATTTTATTGATTGACACTATTCAAAAGCACTGAAGCTTTTATAATAACTAAATTTATTTCATAAGACAGGTGTGTAGGACAAGAATGTATCCATCAACAATGGCAGGCAAACTCCTGTACACTGTCTAAATTGCACAATAACGTTGGCAGTGTTGGGATTTAGACATTGGACTGTTTATGCAGTCTAACACATACATTTCAACATTGCCTCCGTCCAGCGCATAAATCCCAATGTTGCCATGTTGCCAACGTCCAATGCATAATCACAACAGCTCCAACTCACAAATCCAAACATTGCCATTGCCCAATGCAGAGACTGAAAAGTTGCCAATGTCCAACACAAACATCTCAACTTGTCATTGTCCACAATTAATCTCAATGTTGCCAATGTCCAACACATACATCCCCATGTTGCCATGTTTCCAACGTAACTCCGGACTCTGAAAACTCTGAAAGCATCACAGACAGTGGGACTCAGGTGTTACACCCATTGTCATGACTCACAGAGTTATTTTCAGAGGATATACTGGATTTCTATTACATTTAAGTGTGAAAAATCACATATAATACTATTTCAGATAATACTAAAAGGATCTTTGTCTCAATCATTAACTGTGTAAAGAGTATTTAAGTGTTTTTAGTTGTATTATTCTGAGACTGGTTAGTCTCAAAGGCAGCCTCAAAGGCTGATTTAGCTGCAACTAAACTTGAGATGAAAGACAATCCATTTATTGTTTTAAAATGAGCCTGTATGAGCTGAAATATTAGATGTTATAGTCTCTGTTTGTTTACCTATTAGCTACTGAAGCTTCTAACTGAGTCTGTTTGGTTTGAAGTATTTATTTTCACACATCTGAGATGTATTAAGTTGCAGCAGCTTTTAACACCCATCTTCCTCACACGTCTGCTTCAAAATAAAAGCACATCACAGAGATGGCAATTAGAACTTTTATTGTGAAAAACTTTCCGGAACTAAATGTGTTTATTGCTCGGAGCAGCAGCGGAGATTGTAGTCGTGAACGCTGCAGTGAGGAAAATCACTCAGCCACTTCTTTGCACAAGAGTAAGAACCACAGCCAACTTATTTAAATCATCTTGGACTTTAGAAAATGAGACATCAGTTTATAAACACCTTCAGCAGGTAGACCAGCTCTAGTGGAGGAGCTTTTCTGAAGTGGCACCGAGCCAAGAAAAGGGTCTGTCTCTCTCTCTCTCTCTCTCTCTCTCTCTCTCTCTCTCTCTCTCGTCACTCTGGTGCGATGAGGGAAAATCATTCATAGCAGGCCTATTGTTTTTTTACTCAGTAACGGATGTGATTCAAAATGTAGCTAATTACAGTACTTAACAGAAAATCTGCTTAATTAAAATTAAAAGTACAGATTTTAAAAACGACTTAAAAAGTAGTAAGTACACCAAAAAACTACTCAATTACAGTAACGCGAGTAAATGTAATTCGTTACTTTACACCTCTGTTTATTGCACAGTTTATGTGAATGTTTCATTCTCTCTGGCCTGTGTGATGCTGACACTACACTTTCAAATAACTAGTTTCTCTGAAACTGTAAGACAAAATGTAGAAAAGTAGACTCCTGCTCATTATTCCTAATCAAGAGGGTCTTCAGGTCTTTTGTGTAAGATTTAGAGAGTTTCTAGACTTACCTCTTTGACCATGAGGAAAAGGACCCCACTGTTTGCCACAGTGCGGACTCCAATATCGAACCTTGTGACAACACCGAATTTTCCCCTCCTCCCGATGTTATTGATGAGTGCGTAGCCCGTTCCATCAAACAGGTAGCTGGTGATGCGACTCTGAGAAAAGGCCAACTTGTACCTGAGAGCAGTCGGAGAAATAGTATTAGTTACCTTGATTTAACCTTGTTACCTATATGTGTTTCAGCAATTTAAAGATGGAGTCAGTAGGTTTTTACTAAATAAATAAAAAATAGACTTATACTAAAGTAAAGCTGCTCAATCATCACTTATGTTCCTCCATACATGTGTGGTGGTGACTGTGTCTGCAGAGACTCTGTCCTCTGACTGGATTGTTGCTGGTGTGTTTCCTTCAGGCAATGACAGTGCACAGGTCAGTTTAGAAGTGGATATAATTCAGCGATTGTCTTCTTTGCCAGTTTTAAACACATCCAGACGCGGATGTAGCGGCAAAGAAGAGAAAATGTAATCAAAGTGGATAAAGCTCGTTCATAAACGAGGGTGAACCTTGTCTTGGCTTTCACCAGCAGACTTTGAGTTGGTCTGATCTCTGTTGGACAGGAGGGTAACAAACACCTGTGGTTAGCTTGTGCTAGCGTGCGGTAGCTTGCTGTGTAGGTACAAGCAGTAAACATACACACTAAAGTCCTGCAGTGAGTGTGAGCTTCTGGGGGGGCGACAAGCCCGGGAGGAGGGGCCCAGTTTGAATGTTGGGTTTACAAACTGCAACAAACATTTCAACTGACTTTAACTTTAAGTTGGATATTTATAATGACTTGAAATTCTGGTCAGATAAAGATTGTGTTTTTTTTAAATTTATACTAAGTGAGAATCTGGATATTACTTTGTACAGAGAAATAAAATACTTTAAGACTTCAGTGATGTGAGAAATACATAAGAACATAGTCGACTGTTGTATTTGAATCGGCCCTGGAGCCTCATTACAGACTGAAGTGTCCAGGAAAATCTGTACCTCGGGCACGGTGTTGATACTTCTACACCCATTTTGTGCGTCTCTTTGAAGTTGTACAGACTGATCACGTCGTTGTTCAGCGAACCCAACTCGATGCAGCCCACAAAAGGAGCCAGACTCAGTGGAGGGGGAAGCTAGTTCATCAAAAAGGAAAAATAAAAAAAGTAACTTGAGATTAAAAATACAGAAGATAAAAAAGAGTCTATTTGAATACGGAAATATTTGTAAGAGGCTTTACCCTGACTTCTGGCGGGACACCACCAACAAAGAACACTATATCCTTGGGGTCGATGTCAAACAGCGAGTCTGTGCCTGGAGCCTCTCCTTTCTGGATGAACTTCTGCTCGTCTGTGGAGCTCTGACTGGGGATGGTCAGGAACACTTTTCCATGTCTGCCAAGTCTGAAAGAACACAGCACAGAGATGCATGAAGCATTAAGTCATTAGTTATCATCCTGAGAGAGAAACAAACAGGATGTGAGACTTTGGACATCATGCAGGAACATGCCCGTGTCCTTGCCTGAGATTTCTATTAAATAAAAGCTTTTAAGGCTTGACTTCACACCTCATCTCTTTGGGCCGTTGCTCATGGCTAAATAACCTAGCTAAACTAGCTAGCCACTTTATCCAGATATCTATATGAGAAGAAGAAAAATTGAAAAAAACAAATTGAAGAAAGTTTCTGCACCGCTTGAATCAGTCGGTTTGTCTGGCTGGTTCCTGCATGAGGCCCAAAGTTGTCTTTTAACAGTTTTTACCTCTCTACTTTGACATAGTTGAAGACTGCAGGCCATTGGCTGACAGGCTTAGAGCCCAGCGGGATCTCCACATCTTCCCCTCCGAGGTTGTACACGTACACCAGGTTGTCATTTTTGATGGCCAAACCCATGTAGTCTTTCCTGCCCTGCGTGCACAAACAGAAGAAAAGACTCTTGTGTTACGACTTCAACGTGAGCTCATTCGCTGCTCTTTTTTCTCATCATTGCCTTCATGATATTTCACGGTACAGTACTGTTGTTTCAGAACAAAAACATTACTAATTTGTTGGAGTTAAAAGCTCTCCTGCTGGGGCTTCTCTTCCTCACTGAAAAGTCTTATGAACACCACTCCATATAAAACAGAGGCTGTGAAATCACCGAGTTGAAGTGTCACTAAAGAGAACAGAGAGGCCTCACACTGGGTCACTTCACTGTTTCTGTGCCCGAGTGGAGGGGGCTGGCGGTATTTATGTAAATGACCTCCATCTTTGAAGGCACATGCATGCACTATTATCACCGGCGTCTCTTAGAGACCTTTTCAAAGCGGCAACTGTGAGCGTTCAAAGCCTGTCATTCCTGCCTCCAACTTCAGAAACAAAGTACTGCTGTCCACAAGCAGCGCCCAGCCCTTTTATCTTTGCCCTGGGCCTCTGGGTGCAAGTTTGTGAAGTTTCAGCAGCAGCACTGGGCTACAAACAAACATCCTCTCTCACTACCTCCTGTTTGACTGAGAGATCCTCTTTGATATCTGAGAATGATCCCATGCTTAATCTTTCACAGAGATAAAAAATGTTTTTTTGTTTTTTTTTAACACCAATTGATTTATTACACATTATTAACTCTCTTATTCAGACGAAAGACTGCCACACTGAGAGTGACACATCCATCTGAAGTGACATATTGCAAAACTTGCCTCTGGTGACAAAGTGAGCAGCTGTCACTAAAAGACAATAAAAATTGCTCCTGAGGCACAAAATATATTCATCCCTTGCATAGTTAAAAGGAAAAATACTTGTAGAAGAAATGTCAAAATGCATAAAGAAGGACTCATTTGAAAGGCATAATGTTGAAATTAGCAAAACAGAACTTATGAAAAAAAACTAGGAAGTGCAGTTCCATGCTAACTCCCGTCTGGAGAATTCTGTTCCCTCCGCTGTGAGGGACAGTGAAGTGTTTTGGGCCACAGAAAGTGAAATATTCAGAGTAAAAAGGTCACCTTGGGCTCAAATTGAAGCTTATAAATCAGGGAAGTTTTTTAAAAATAAAAATGAGACAGTGATGTTAACAATAAAGTGCTTTAACCTGATCATATTCCATGAGATTTTGTGCCGCAGAAGCTATTTGTATTGTCTTTTTGTGAGTTTTAGTGACGATAACTTCAAATGTAATGGCAGAAAGTACAATAATCTTATTTTGCTACTTTCCCCTATAGTTCAGGATACTCTGTGCCAAATTTCATAGTTGTATGGCTATTGATGCAATTTTAACAAGATCATTTGTGACTTTTTATTATCTTGACCTAAGCATTTTTCAAAAAGGTTTTTTTTGGCCCCCCAGGACCGAACGGCCCCGAGTTGGGAGTGGTCGTTATCAACTTGTGATGGCCCAAGGTATGGGATAACTAAAAATCATAGTGAAAAAAAGGTAGCATGAAACATCCTGAAGGAGGGACCTGGCTCCTGGACTATTAATATTGATGGTCTCTTTACACAGCAGCAGCCTCTACCATCAGTGTGTGAATGTGTAGGTGTGACATGCAGTGTAAAAGATCTTTGAGTCGTCAGAAGACTAGAAAATAAATATGCAATCTCAACTCCATGTACTATTCAGATTTGTAAACTACATATGCCTTTACTCATGTCATGACTTCTATCTGTATCCCCTTGCATGTTCTCTGGTTGGCTTGAGCGTCTCCAGTGACAAACATATTCCTCACGTTTCTGTCTCCCAGGTACAGGACGAAGCGGTCCTCTATGGGATCCTTGTCCGGGTCCACTCTGATGAACAGGCTGATGGACGTCACTGTCTTCAGCTCTTCCAGGTTGCTATGAGGATGAACCTCCACTGACGACTGGCCGTTAAACTTCATGGATACTTGGACCTGCAGTAGAAGGTAAACCATCATGACTTACAGTAGGACTAACTATGTGAATGCAGACACTCTCATCTGTTTGCATAGAGTCAAAAAAGTAACTTGGATTAATTGATCATTTAGCAAGATAAAGCCTGCTTAGATTTTTTTAATGGTTGCATGTAAATCTTGGCCTTGAATACAATGGTTATAGCATTGTGTTGAACTGATGCACTGACTTTCTTGGCCACGCTCCTGGCCTGGGCTATGAGCTCCCTGATCCTCATGATGTTGGTGGTCACGTTGTTGACAGGCTTCTTCTCCTCCACCACCTTCAGTTTGTCCAGCAGCGCAGGAACCAGTCCATTCAGGCTCTCCACTACAAAGACATCCCACACCGAGGATTTTAAAACCATTGGAACCTAGACACTGTGTTTGACTTTGTTGTTTTGAACACTGCAGCAGTTTTGGTACCTGCTTCCCCTGCAGACTCGACCGCCTGCTCATAAGCATCTGTGGAGTATTCGTTGTTCTTCATGCTGTCGGCCCACTGCTCCACCTTGCTGCTGATTGGGCTGATGGTTTGGAGGACCTCTGCTGAGCGGTTCAGAGTCCCCTTAGCCACCTCCAGGGTGAACTCCAGCCTCTGCGGGGTTCTGTCTGGATGAGGACGTTTAAAAATAAAATTCAGTCTAAATTTTAAATACGAATGAAAAATCAAGCCAATCAAATGGAACCCACCATAATGAAGCACCAATAAGGGCAAGCAGTGGACAAAAATTGTTCTTCATTGTTGAATTGTTGTGCTAGCATGCTAATGTTAGTGCTCTTTAGTTAGCCAGTAGCAATGAAATTGGCACAAAATGACCAAGATCTTAAAATGCGTTTGTGACATTTCAATAATCAGTGAGTATGTTCTTCTTCTTCTCTCTAGTCCTTGACTAATACAGTTTTTATACACAAGAGGAGGAGCCGGCCGTCCCGTCCATGTAAACACAGCTCTGACAACAACACAGCCAGCGGGACTCGAGCTTCTCACTCATTGTAGACAGTCAAGACTCAGAGAGATATTTACACAGGATATACATTTAAAGAGACACACACACCAAAACGGAACATTCTGAGAGAGCTGGTTTATACAGGGTCACAAACCTCCTCTGTTGCTTGATTCATGTTATATTTTGACTAAAGCACAGCACAGATGTTTCATTTAGACACAGGGGGACTGTTTGAAAAGGTGAGAAAGGGGTATAATATGTCCTCTTTAAGGGTTTAAAAACCAAACATACAGTATATAAAATGAGATCTCTCATGTCTCTCATGTCACACAAACCAATAAGAAAGGAGTGTTGTGTTACCTGCATGGATTCCACTGATGTCTTCCTTTAGATCTGCAAGTTTCTTGGTGTTTTTCTCCACGGTCTCCTGGGTTTCCTCGATGTATTTCAGCTGTTCAGTCACCTCCAATTCTACCTCTGTGACAGAGAGATGCACTGTGTTAGAGGGACATCTGATAAATAACACATGAACACCGAGGACATGTCACAAATGTCTCCTTTCAAACCTTTCTGTTCCGAATGTAACGACACAGACTCCTTGAAAACATTGTCGCTCTGGGTTACCAGGTACCCCAGCTGTGCATTGATCCCATCGACGGCCTGAAAACACACAACATAACATCATGCCACAGGTGTTAGCAGGAACAACAGAGTGTGCATGCTGTGTGTTTCTGTCAGGTTACTTACATCTTCAGCTCTCTGAGATAAGTTGAAGGTGGTGATGGAGGTGATGTTGGCATCGTCGACGTATTTGATGATGTTGTTGTAGACGTTGGCGGCACTTATGGCCTTCTGCACAAAGCCGTTGGCGTCGCTCTCTTTCAGATCCCTGGAGGAGACAGGATGATGGATGCTACAGTCTTATCTGATTGTCTCCATAGTGAACGTAACAGCATCATATTGAATTAAGCTGCAGTAATCCATTTTTCTTTTTTCACAACAACAGATCAGAAGACAACAACTATTCAGAAGCTCCAAATTTAAATATAAGTGTTGAAGGTCGTTTAAAGGTCACATATTATGGAAAATACACTTCACCATTGTTTTCTATCACTAATAAATGTGTCTCTAGTCTGTCTACAAACCCTCAATTGTGAGTATAGTCCATCCTCTCTGTCTTCTGCCTGCTCCACTTTTCAGAAAATGTGTGCTCAAACAGGGCGTTTGGAGATTTTCCTTTCATGACATCACAAAGGGCAGTAACCCGTCCCCGAGGTGGGTTAGGGGTTTGGATCTTACAATATGATCAGACATTAAAGAGCCCATATTCTGCCCTTTTTGGGGTTCTTATATTTAATCTATGTACCTACTTTTGTACGTTCACAATAGCTAAAGTCCTAAAAAAGTGTCTGTTTTCATGTACTGCTCCTCCTTGCTCCCTCTACGCTCTGAGTCCGTCAGCTACGCTCTGCTGAGCCCACACTGTTAGACCCCACGCGGGCCAAGTCTGCTCTGATTGGTCTGCCGATCCGCTCTGTCGTTATTGGTCAGTTGCTCAGCACACTTCTCGGAAATTTCAACATGAGCTGCAGGGCTTGCCACAACGAGCCAATGGGCTTAGATCAGTGATATCACACTGACAATGACGTCGCACTGACAAATTTTTATCAAGGGGGGCTAGAACCGAGCCTTACATGCAGCTAATGCTACAGCTAATAGGAGGAGGTAGATATACATAGATGTGTCTAAACATGCACAGGACACTTGGAAAACACACTAAAGGGCATATAAAACCAGAAAAAGAAGAATATGGGACCTTTAAGGAAACATGCTATGTTGAAGTGCTGGCTTCTCTGACAACAATGCAGCAGCCAGTATGTCCTCCTTCTAACTTCAGATTCTGCTCCTGAATGCTCTGGATTTGTTTGGACCAGAGAAGGTAGGAGGTTTTAAGACACCCGCACACAGCTGTTTTGGACGCCCCTCGGTTTACCAGATATGAGAGCAGTTATCAGGTCAACAGGTGTTGCAGTGATGGAAGTGGGCAAGAGAAGTGGTTCAGATAGAAGTGATTGTACCCGACCTAAAAAGCCTCTGCATGTTTCTAATAAGCTCCACGAGCAGAAACGTGCTCAAACTAGGATCAATATTGGAGATGCTTTTTAGCAAACTGAAGGTTTACAGACCCATGCAGCGCTGGCTAAACACTGAAGATACAGTGTCCGAGACATGGCAACCTGTGAGTGCCTTGACACAGGGAGGAGGGGGCAGGGGGAGACAGCTCTCTACAATGTTGTAAATTTGGACTGCAGTACCCATTTTAAACACTAGGTGTCAGAGTTACATATTGCTCCTTTAATAAGATCAAAACAGAAGAGTTATTTAGAAGATGCTTTTTAAAAGGTTAAGAGTGTATCAAATCGTGCCGCAGTGTACCATATGATACCATATCATAAGTGTATTGTATCATAGATGTAACATCATATTGTATTTATGGTATATGTTTCACAGTATATCATGTTTTATTGTTTCGTAGATAAATCCCATTATATCACATCACATTTTTTCCCTGGTAAATTCATTTTTTGTTTCCTTTATCTTAAAATGTAACCTCAGAAACATTTTTGCTTTTCCCTTTGTCTGCCTGGAAAACACCATGTGTTTCGTTTACTTCATGGTTTTGAATTAATAATAAATAGAGTCTCACTCCTCCAGTTCGTTGGCCTGTCTGTCCAGCTCCTCAGCGTGGTCGTCGGCCCTCTGCACCAGATCCCCGTCAGCCAGTGACAGACGCTCAGTCTTCTCCTGCAGCCTCTGGCCGGCTCCATCGATGGCTGCGTGGTACTGGGACACGTTCTGTGCACACAGAGAGTACACACCGAAACATTATGTACACATTTATTTAAGAGGTTTTTAAAAAAAATGATATGCAAGGATAATCAACTGCTTTGCATTTGTATTCCATTGGAGGAATCCTTGTGCCTTGTGATAACTTAAAGTACACACACACACGCGCACACACGCGCACACACGCACACCAGCTAACATTGTTACCTCAGGATGATTGCAATCCCCCACAGAGTAACTCAATAGAGAGCTACTGGACTAAAAGTGGAGAGCTGTTTGAGAACATGGCTTATTCAATCTCCAGCAATCCACAAATTGCTTCCAAATCAAATTGGCTCGTTTAAGAATCTGACACAGGCTGCGTCTCTGGAATCCATTTCATGGATAAATTCAATGTGGGCCCTGCGATACTGCAGCCTGATATCACTGTCTATTAGATTATGAAACATACTCCCTCATTCAGTGAGCCATAAAGAAAGCCGAGCATCATTGGACGTCAGGGACCCAGAGATGATTTCATTCTCCCCCCTCATCATAAGAAGCCATCAGGGTGCAGGCTGTTGTTTATGACCTTACCTGCACTAAAGCATCCATCTCGGCCATGGCTCCGTCTGTCTCCGAGATGAATCCTCGGGCTGTTTCCAGAGTAGCGTTGACAGCAGCGTGGTCCTCTGCCAGCCTCTGCTGCTTTGACTGCAAGGCACAAGGACATCAAAATCCTCCAGTTTAACTTCAGAACATGGTAAAAAAAAATAAAAAATGCTGCATCATTTTGTGTCTTTATTGGACAGAAAGATTATCATGAGGTTGGAAAGGGGATCTGAAAGTTGACCTGGAGGGGCTTTCCTGAACACTTTACAGGAAAGTTCACTAAGGAATAATACATTTTCCTTTTCATGTTTTCTTGGTTTTTATTGGTAAGAAGATTTATATTGTCTATACTGTATCTGTGAGTTAAGTTTGCAGCCAGAGCCAGGAATCCCAGGGTTTAGCTTAGCATCAACCCTTGAAGCGTTGTTAGGGGGTCCAATGCCTTCCTCTTACTGTTCCCTTCCACTTATTTGTAGAGAGCCATTGAAAACGTAAGACATTTGAAGGAGTGTTTTTTAAACACACAGCTAGCTATGCTATGCTAATGTCTGTTAATGTATGATTTAAGGCCTCAAAGGTGTATTTTTAAAATAACATCAGAAGTGTCTATGGCAGCGTGTGCAGTGAATGTCCAAACCCAAGAACATGAAATGTCTTTTTACACTCCTTTGTCATTCTCTTAATGCCTCTAAAATATATTTTTATCTACGGTTTAACTAGTAGAGTCATATTGTGGGAGGCACTGTGGCAGCTGGTGATGTGGTGGCTGTGGATTATGTTTTACAGTTTCCCAAAACTACCTTTACTGTAGTTCACCTGCATGACTGAGATCATCTGACAAACTGATGAGAGCACTCGATTGGCTGTGGCGACCACGCAGTGAGCACACTGTGTGTCTGCAGCCGGGGTCGACCGGTCTGTGCTGAGGGCGATGAAGAGCCCCAGATTAGAGAGGCTCCATGTTTGGTTAATGCACCATTCACTGCATTGATTTACAGCAGAGGCCCTGATCATAGAGATCTTCACTCTTGATAACATGGACACACACACACACACACACACACACACACACACACACACACACACACACACACACACACACACACACACACACACACACACACACACACACACACACACACACACACACACACACACACACACACACACACACACACACACACACACAGGCTGGACGGCAGGCCTGTAATGTCAGCCAGGGCGTGACAACTAGAGGCACGCCCTGGATCCAGATTAAAACGATGTGGGGTTCACTCAGTGATAAATCATCACATCACAGGACAAGACATTACAACTTTGGAGAGACCATAACAGTTTGAATATTTTAAAATACTGATCACAGATGTCATGGAGGTTTATATGTTTTAATTAATTGCCAATGGACTTGAGCTTGTAGAGTTCTTTTCTAGTCTTCTGACAACTCAAAGTGCTTTTACACAACAGGTCACACCTACACATTCACACACTGATGGTAGAGGTTTAAACTAATCCAACCATACACATTCATACACTGCTGAAGAAGCAGCAGGAGCAACTTGGGGTTACGTATCTTGCCCACACAGTGGACGTGTTGCTGCAGGAGCTGGGGATCGAAGCCCCAACCTTCCAGTTGAGAGTCAACCGACTCTACCAACTGAGCCACAGCCGATCAGTGTGCCTTCATGGGGGTGCTGCGGTTGCCCTGGGAGATTGCAAAGCAGAAACTAATAGAGTACATACGTCTTGATGTATAAAAGTTGATCTTTATCTGGTTAAATTTCCTGCAATGAATCTTCTCTGAACAGTCAGAATCATGTGTGTTGGCTCCATCTTGGAAAATAAAGGCATGTTTTTTTTTTTAATTTGTAGGCTCTAAATATTTTCAAGGGGGATCGGGAGGGGTTGAGCATTGCAGTGTAGCTTCCCCCCTCCATGTGGGCCTCCTCCTAATGTAACAGCCCAAAGCTCCCACAGATGGTTCTGTGTTTCTGTTCTCAGGCCTTAAATACCAGAAGTAATAGACATTAAGATGCCTGACAAACAACAACCAGACGTCTCTCCCTAACCCCCCCCCTCAGTGCAAGGAATGCTAAGTTTGGACCTTCTTGTGTTATTTTCATGGCCAGGTAGCGCGGTGTGCACATTGACACATCAGGAGAGGAGGTTAAGCGGACGGCATTTAAAAGGAGGAATGTCATGCTAGCACACTCTCACAGCAGGGAGGAAGGGCTGTGAGCTCTCCCACAGGACTGAATCATTCATACCTGCACACAGACAGAATGAGAAAAGGGGGGGGGAGATGCACTCAGCAGAATCCTAGAGATTTATGAGAAGTTACCTGGCTCCTCTGATATTTCAGGATGGTGGCTTTGTTTATGTCCTCTGTTTCCTGAACATGGCCGGCTGCTTTATGGAGGAAGCCCTGAGCGTCGGACAGCTTGGTGGAGAAGCGAGAGAGAACCTCCCTGACGGGCGGCAGGCGGCTGTCTGTGCTCATCAACTTCTTTTCCAACTGACGGATACGCCTCAGCACTGCAAACACAATCACTTACAATAAGTTAAACATGCACACCTGACTCGTGGGTTTGCTGCTGTAACTCTCATACTCATCACAATTTGGTTGTCGGTGAGTGAAAATCAAGAATTGGCTTCCAATTGTTATCCTCCTGACACAACAAAGTGTTTGTTAGAATGTACATGATCTCTGTTTTTTGTGCTATCCAAATTGTGTTTTTTCTAAAAAAGCTGGAAATTTTTTAGGCCTCGTGTCCACTTTGCGTTTTTTTCTGAGAGCCAGGGTCTTTTTAAAATTGTTTTCAATTAGAAGAGAGCGCTCGCAGGAGCAGGCGGCTCTCTTTTCCAAATGTAGGATATTTCCTGAAGTCTTGTACCCACATCCTCTTTGCTCCGTGTCTGATCGGGAAATAAACAATCTAAAATATATATATTTTAAAAACATACAGTAAAAACCGCTGTTGTCAACAGCCTGTTGTCAAAGAGACAGGATGGACGTGCAGTGCTTTTAATCTTAGCACACAAACTCCATGCAAGCGCATCCAGAGCGCACAGCTTTTCTGCATGGTAAAAACACTAGGTGGACAAGGGGCCTAACACTGTTTTTTTTTTTTTTTTTGCTGGCAGCACCCATTTTTAATAAAGTCCAACGTAGTTCAGTATTGTGCTCACACTGGACCCATGACTTTTCCCAATATTATTTTGTAACTTTTGTTCTCTAGGTGACCAAATGAACCAAAAATAAATCTTCATGTGACATCTTTTTCAGCTGCATTTATTTGACTATGAGTTCATCCATCCATCTTCCTCACATGCTTATAGTTTTATTTAAATATATAAGATTTGAATATGATGATCCGGTCTTACGCCCCCTCTTTGTGATTCATCTTCACTCTCGAGTACAAAAATGGAAAACTAAAGAACAATTGTGATGTCATTTGGAGACCACCTTATGAGTGCTGTGTGTACCCAGACCAAAAAGATGACAAAGACCATGAGAGGAAATTGCAAGTCATTAGTGTGGAGCACAGATCTAACCGTCATGGGCTTCAGTGGACTCGTCAGTGGCGATGGGCTCTCGGGGGGACAGATCGAGTGTCCTCATCCAGGCCACCATTCCCTGGGCCAACTCAGTGTTTCGTCTGACCTCCTCTGGATCCACATCCTGGTGGACGCTGTACAGCTCCCAGTCCTGGATCATCTCTGTGAACATACATGAACACACATAGATGACAATCTTAACCCGTCAGTGCCATAAACAGACTTTTTGGGGAAGCACGCTGATTCAGCAGTTTTTCCCTGAAAGTTTAGGATGAAATTAGTATACAGTAGCTGATGGCTGAATCAATGTGCAGAAGCAGTGCCAAAATGTTCTGTACTTTTTAAACTCATTCAGACTGAGTATATGCAGAAATACAACCAGGTTTAAAAACCCAGGAAGAAGCCTTTAACGTGTTTTAAGTTGTTGAATAGAGCGCTTAAATTTACCCCCAAATCAAAGTCAGTTATCGTTATCATGTGGAGTGTATGTGAGCAGAGTTTGGTCTGTACCTTCAATGCGTACGTTGAGTTCAGTGAGGTTTGTGTTGAGCTGCTCAGCCAGGGTGAACGTCTCCAGGGTGTCGTTTTCCAGTTTGTTCCCCAAAGTCTCCACCACACTCTCCTGAAAAAAAACACCACAACAACTGATCAATAACCCTGATCAATCAGTCACTTACTTCTAAAGACTGAGCTGGAGCTATCAGGTGTCTCGTAAAAAAACATCCAGTTTACTCCACTTCCTTATTTGAAATTAGCGTGATGCTAATTCTGTTAGCCGGTTAATGCTTTTTTCCAGTATGTGTTAGCATCAAGCTAACAAAGTAAGATAGGCTATAAATCCTGGTCAATCTGTGAGAAACTGGGCCCACCCTGAAACAATGCACCAGTCACCACTGGTTTCAAGTTTAGCTGTTTCCATTGCAATGCTTCTGGAAACATCACCGTAAGAAATTACACAAAATATATTTCCAGGGCCTTAAATCTCTAAAGCCTTCAAACTCCAAGTCATGCATTAAATGACAGACGGTGGGTTTGCTGACCGATTCTCCCAGCTGTTTGATATCCAAAACCACAGCCTCTGCAGCCTCCTCCAGATCCCCGGCCTGGGCCTTCATCACAGAGGACTTGTTTCTCCAGCCTTGAAACTGAGTCTGGGAGCAGAGCAGATAAAGTCATTCATTAGACCACAAAAGAGCTCAATGTTTTAATATCAGAAACATTGTGTGATTGTGTTCTAGAGCGCTGCAGTAGACTTCTCTGTAAGTCCTCTCCATCTCCTGGGAAATCATTGTTAAACCATAAAACTGAAAGAAAATCTCTCAGAACAGATGTGCACAATCAGAGTACGATATACTGACCAGATTGTCTTTTGAAGTGTCCCACATTATTGCTGCAGGGAGATGACTGTAAAGTAAAAACCTTTTTTATTTACCAGAAGCAGCTGTTAGCTACATCATGACTTCAGTTTAAGTAATGCTACTTGTGATTTTACCTCGCAGTAAACACGAGTTGCTGATCTGCTGCTTTATTGTGTTGGCTCATGATTGTTTTTTATGTTTCAAATTTAGCAATAAAGACACAATTACACAAAAAACAACTACTACCTAACAAGGATGATATAGTCTAAATTACTTCAATTTTCTGTAGGGAAAAATTAACTTTTTCTTTTCAGCGATTATGTTTACATGGACTGGAGTATCCCGTTTTTCTTTAAAGATTTATTTTTGGGCTTTTTGTGCCTTTAATGGAGAGAAAGGACAGCGGATAGAGCTGGAAATCAGGGAGAGAGAGAGTGGGGAGTGACATGCGGGAAAGGAGCCACAGGTGGGATTCGAACCTGTGCCGCCTGCTTGGAGGACCACAGCCTCCATAAATAAGGCGCGCACACCAACCACTGTGCCAGCAGCGCCCCTGAGTATCCTGTTTTTATGTTTGTGCACACATTGTGCTTTTCATCTGGCCCTTGAGTGTGTCATTGTCCAAAGAGACCACACGAGGGTATCAGCATGTCAGAACTCATCTTTGTCAAGTACTGATTTGGTTGTTGTCTCTGATAATTGTTTGTTTGTAAATGTATGCATGGTCTGGGTGGACTGTGGAACCAATTGCCCTCTGGGATAAATAACGTTTTCTAAGTCTAAGTCTAAGTCATCATATCCCGAGTTTAGATAAGCTCTTATCCCAATTTTGATGAACCCGATGTTGTGCCCTGGAGAACTCTGAAAGACAATGTTGCATGTTTACGCCTTACCCCGGGTAAGCACTGCATCAGCAAAACAAACATTGCAGCAAATATGGAAGTCCTAGCCAGCAAATATTGGGCAATGTTATTTTTTTTAACAACCAAATATTACAAGCAAATATTTGCTCATTGTCCCAATCGTACAGACCCTGAATATGGACTGCAGTACCTATTTTAAACGCTAGGTGTCAGAGTTAAATATTGCTCCTTTAAAGTTCCAATGGTTACAGCAGAAATAAACATGTTTACAGCAGGGTGACCAGGCGTCCTGCTTTCATGAAAGTGCAAATGAAACATTGTCCCCCTATTTGGTTGGCCCTGGTTTTCCAGAGTGCAGGACAGTCGCCTAGCTAAACCCTGGAGGCACTTTTTTTGGCAGAGTATGATGGAAACTATGACAATGACAAGAGATACAGGATCATAGCCCGAATATGATCTGAACCAGGATAATGCTCATAACCAGGATACTCAAGTCCATGTAAATGCTTTTAATGGGGACTGGTGGATAAACAGCTGTTGAAAGGTTAAAAAAAGATCTTACTCTTTGACCAAAAGCTCTCTCAAGGGACCCTTTCTTCAATGTTGAATAACAATGTTCTGTCTTTTTGTTAAAAACCCACTTCAGGTGGATGTACCTTTAGCTCCCACATTTGTCCACAGAAACAGTCAGTACCGCTGCCCGCTGAAGCAATCTACAGGAGCAATTCTAAAAGGTTTCAGACACGGGTCAGATTTAAAAATATGTGAATGAACCTGCAGTCGGTGAGCCGTGTAGTTGTAGTATTTGAGTCTGTCGTTGGCTGCAGCACCAGTAGAGATGTTCAACACTCCCACTTTCAGCTGGTCCAGTGTCGTATTGGAGAAACTCAAGTCCCTCATCAGATGCCAAATGCACTCATCACAACCTGAAACCAAGAAACACCACTGGTACAGTTATAGTGTATATAGTATAGCAAACAGTGCAGTCTCTTATAAAGCTGCTGCTCCACTTACTGATGTTGCACAGGTTGACCGTGGCGGCCTCTGGCAGACACTCTCCTGTGTGCATGTCACAGTGTCCGCTCTCACAGTCACACTCTGTGGAAAAACAGACGAAGAAACATTTCATCAGAGAGTGATAAACTGAAAGATCAGCACATCAGCCTGATTTCAAGATCTGCTGGAAACTGTTCAGTACAGTTATTACATATATATCAGGACCGACAGATGGTGTGTTGGCTCCAGTCCTGCACATCTGTCCTGCGGTCTCTCTCTTCTGTGGGACTGATGGTTTAGGCAGCTGTGTGTGTTTGTGTGTGTGGATTTGGGCTGCATGGTGATGTCATTCAGCTCTCAGCAGAGAGTCTCCGGCCACGGGGTCACATCTCTCAGCAGATGCTTCTCTGACATCATGTGATCTACTGCGTCGGTGGGTGTGGGAACGTGAGGACTCGGCTCAGCCTCTTCCTCTGGGAAAGATTTTTCCTCAATTGAATGTTTTCGACAAATGGTCCCGGGGTTGTTTGACGTGTGGTATGACAGACAGATGACTTACTCTGGCAGCCGGAGGGGCTGTAGTTCCAGTGTCCTTGCAGGCAGCGCTCGCAGTAACGACCTCCGGCCCCCGGGCGGCAGGGGCAGCTGTGGGTGAGAGGGTGGCAGGTGGAGCGCATGGAAGCTGGACCGCATTCACACCTCCGACATCCCTGACAGCTGGAGAAACCGGAGTAGCCCTCCTGGATTAGATGAGTGACAAACACAGTAAGACCCCATTGTGAGGCTGTTCAAGTTCATTAAGAAGCATGTTGAAGTAAAACACGCTTTGTCAGATCTTGGTTCTTAAAAACGGTTGTTATGAAAATGATTTCTGTCAATAACAATAACTTCATACTGCAAAATTAAAGCTGAGATTTGAGAACACAGCATCATTACAACAAAATAGGTTTTCCATAGTTCAAGGCAGTCCCTGACCCCTGTGAGGCCCCATGTTGAGAAGGTCAAATAAGTAAGATATCTACTGAATGAAATGATAAAGGTATCTTACTATATGATCAGACATTAAGGAAACATGCTATGTTGTAGCTTCTCTGACAACAATGCAGCAGCCAGTATGTCCTCCTTCTAACTTTAGATTCTGGTTCTGAATGCTCTGGATTTGTTTGGACCAGAGAAGGTAGGTGGTTTTAAGGTGACCCCCACACGGCCGTTTTGGACGCCCCTCAGTTTACCAGATATGAGAGCAGTTATCAGGTCAACAGGTGTTGCAGTGATGGAAGCGGTCAAGAGAAGTGGTTCAGATAGAAGTGATTGTACCCGACCTAAAAAGCCTCTGCATGTTTCTAATAAGCTCCACGAGCAGAAACGTGCTCAAACTAGGATCAATATTGGAGATGATTTTGAAAAATGGAGAGAGGTTAGAACACAGAAAGGTTTACAGACCCATGCAGAGCTGGATAAACACTGAAGCTACAGTGTCCACCACATGGTGACCTGCGTGAGCATCGACTCTCAGGAGGGGGGGAGACAGCTCTCTACAATGTTTTTTAATTTGGACTGCAGTACCCATTTTAAACACTAGGTGTCAGAGTTACATATTGCTCCTTTAAAGTGATGACATGTTTACAGCAGGGTGACCAGGCGTCCTGCGTTCATGTGCAAGCCCCTTATTTGGTTGGTCCTGGTTTTCCAGAGTACAGGACAGTCCAAAACCTGGAGGCACTTTTTGGCAGAGTATGCTGGAAACTATGACAACTAAAGGAGATGCAGCTACAACACAGTGTGGGAAAGTAGTTTCTGTTGGGTTAGCAGAGGGCAAATCCCAGAAGGGTCTTTTTCCTCCTTTCCACACACCTACTCACTCATACTGACTCTTCTGATGTCCACTTCTAACATTTGTTGTAATTTAATTTCAGGCTTGGGTCAATAAAGAACATTTTTGGTGTCTCTCCCTTAATATGCCCTTTTGGTAGGTCATGACACACTATAGGGCAGGGGGGGGGGGGGGGGGACGACGACGACTAATGAACGAGGTTAACAGCCTGTAAACTTTGCTGGATGTTTACAACAAGCAGGTATAATTTTACCCCTCACCTTCGCTCCTTCATCAGGTGCATTGCTTTGACTTCAGTTATTGTGATTAATCTCATACTATTCTGTGGCTCTCCGTAGATAGTGGTCCTCAGTGTCTCCCTGTAGTCTCAGTGATGTAAAAGAAGAACACTGCTGCATCTTTGAATGTCTCATTTCACTTTAACAAACTCTCAGACAGCTCAGCTGATGAGTCCAAAGTAATATCCACCTCATGACATCACACATTGACCTTTAATAATAATATGATTAACTGGGAATAACTATTGAAATTTTCCCATTTGCAATTTTTTCATCGTTGGGGGTTTGATGTTTGCCCTAATTTATAAATACTTTTCTCCAAAATTTGTCTAACTTTGGATTTTGTTTACAACCTGTCCGACGGTCTCATTTGTTTTGTTGTAATACTCTGTTGACCATCTTTTCAGTAATGTTGCTGAATTCTCAAAACTCAGCAGTTAACCTGTAAGGCACATTTATGACAGTAACACCTATGATGTGATAAAGTAGTAAGTAGATGAAGTAGACTCAACCATTAACCCTTCTTCAAACACAAGTTGAGCTGTCTTCAGTCAGGTCTCTCACCTCACACTGGTCACAGAACTGTCCGGTGACTCCCGGCTTGCAGTGACACACTCCGGTCCTGTCGTCGCATGAAGAGGTGCCACATTTATTGCACTCACATTCTGCGACAGACACACGGAAAGAGGAGAACGTTAGAGGTGGAATGATGTCACGGGCAAAATATTTTTGGACATGCAGGGCCTCAAAAGACACACGGTAATCCGTCATCCTGCACGGTGACATTGGCTTGTTTTCCACTGAACAGCTTCAGTGACACAAAGCAACAAAAGGAAACTACACCTTCATAATAATTGCAGATAATTGAGAAGAAAAACTAGAAAAACAATTGTGATGTAAAGTCAGATAACGTGTTGAAGCTATCTTTTGATTACACAATGCTGCAGGTCATCGTGTGACTGAGCTGAGCTGAGCTGCTGTCGTCGATGTTTGATGAGAATGTTCGACAGTCAGCTGAAGCAACTGTGTCAATAAATGTCCCTGTCTTCATTATGAATTTAGCTTTGTTGCTGGATCAAGATTCTCAAGTAGGGGGCGCTGGTGGTGCAGTGGTTGGTGTGCGCGCCCCATGTACGGAGGCTGTAGTCTCCGTACATGGGAGACCCAGGTTCAAATCCGACCTGTGGCTCCTTTCCCGCATGTCACTCCCCACTCTCTCTCTCTTTCTCTCTCTCTCTCTCCTTGATTTCCAACTCTAACCACTGTCCTATCTCTCCATTAAAGGCCCAAAAAGCCCAAAAATAAATCTTTCAAAAAAATATGCTCAAGTAGAACTGCTCATTAACATTACGCAACAACAGTGAGTGCCTTTACATGGACTTGAGTATCCTGGTTTAGATCTGGTTTTAGTAGGCCTATCTCTTGTATTTGTGTTTCTGCATGTAAACATCAGATCCTGGTTTCAGAAAGCGGGAGAAGCCCTCATCATGAACTTGAAAAACAGAATTTTGCAGCCTGCAGAACTCCAAAATAAAATGGGTTTCTGATAGCTGCAGACTACCTGCAAAGCCTCAGCCTCAGCCAAGTGACGTATCAGCCAAACAAACATGGCGGCGGCGACTACAGTGTCTTACATCTTACACATATCTTCCTGGGAACTCCTGCGCTCTCGTGTCTTGTAGTTATCATGAGTTTTGTTCTCATGATGAACAATTTGTAAATTTGTATAAAAGTTAAGGCGATAATTCTCCTTTTATGTTTTTGCTATTCATTAAACATCCAACACCTATTGACTGTAGTTAGTCCTCACCTCTACAGTTCTTGGCAGTGATGGCGTCGCCGTAGAAACCCAGGGCACACCTCTCACAGTTGGCTCCGGCGGTGTTTCCCCAGCAGTGTTGGCAGTGACCCGTCACGTTGTGGCACTCGTTAAAGATCAGGTTGGGGTCAGAGTTTCCGTTACAGTCGCATCTCTTACAGCTGTTGTTGATCTCCATGGGGTTGCCATAGTAACCTGGCGCACACCTAGGTGGGGAAGACTTTCTGTAAGATGACTGATGATTTCACAGCTTGTTCCAGTGTCGAAAAACCACCTTCTTTTATTTTGAAGGTTCTCAGCTCTTTGTCCCTAACTTTCAGTCAACCTGACAACAGGCTGAGAGCTGGAGCTGAGGCGGGTTTTAAGCCTCCTGACAAACCATTACACTGCGCCCGCCTGTCAATCATGTCAGCTACGCGCCTTACTGTGAATAACTCTTATCATTTAAAAAATCAAAGATAGATATTTTCAGGAGCACATACTGTATGTGCAATGTAATGTCGGCTTCATGTGTTGTCATGACGATCTCAGACAGTAATATGTAATTGGTATCTGATGAGCATGTGGAGCATTATTGCACGTGTTCTGTTTGATATCTTCTGCTCGGAGCAGCCGCAGCACTGACCTCTCACAAAGATGTCCGGCGTAGCCCTGTTTGCACTTGCAGCGCAGGACGGCACTTCCTCTGTCACAGTGCACCGCGAAGCTAAACACACAGGGGGGGAAAGTATTTCAGAGATGACTCACTCGCTTGCCAACACACAGACATGTGGCTGCAGCAACAAGAACAGACCAACTTACTTATTAGAGGGGACGGAGAGGGGACAGGCGCAGGGTCGACAGGTGTGGCGTCCGTTAAGGCTTGGGGCCAGCAAGTAGCCGTCCTCACACATCTCACAGAAATCTCCCGTGCTGTGGTCCCTGCAGTTCTGAAAGAGACAAAGAACCAATGAGAAGAAGGAAAAAGAAAGCTGTTTTTTTAACAGTCATGACCTTGTTGTTGATCGTTCACTTACTAAACAAACACCGGTGATGTCTTCACAGTAGTCGGCGTGGCCTTTGCAGTTACATGATAAGCATATACTCTGCTCGCTCAGGAAGAATCCCTTTGCACACACCTAAGACCGAAACAGAAAACACACAAAGTTAAACAGTAGAACGAGGCTCCAACAGTTCTGTCTTGTTCGAGTCCACACAAAGTGGATATTTTCTATTAAGAGTTGTGTTTGAAGAAAGCTCGAGGCACAAATACGGCAGAATAAAGATTCTTTTCAAGCAGGTGTACCCTCTTTGAAGCCTAGTGGTTAGTTCTTGCTCGCCATGTACAGAGGCTACAGTCCTCAAAAGAGGGCGGCCAGGGTTCAAATCCGACCTGTGGCTCCTTTCCTGCATGTCATTCCCCTCTCTCTCTCTCCCTGATTTCTGACTCTATCAACTGTCCTCCATACATCCATTATCTAAACTGTTTTTCCAGTTCAGGGTCGCGGGGGGCTGGAGACGATCCCAGCTCATCATTGGAGCGAGAGGCGTGGTACACCCTGGACTGTACCCCGCGATGTGGAGTTTGCATGTTGTCCCCGCATGCATGGTTTTTCTCCGGCTTCCTCCAACAGTGAGAGGTTGTATGTCAGCCCTGTGACTGACTGGCGACCAGTCCAGAGTGAACCCCACCTCTCGCCCAATTACAGCCAGGATCAGCACCAACCCCCCGTTACCTTGAACTGGGAAAACAATATACAATAGATGGATGGACAACTGAAAGGTTGGTTGCATCCTGATGCAGATATGCTCATTTACTCTTTACAGAATGGGTTTTTAATAGAGCTTACTAGAGGGTCTCATATCTGGTCAAAAGATTAAAAGAATCCTTCAGGGGCTGTGTGAGGGGAAATGTCCTTGTAGCTGTAGTTTAATTACCAAGAGCTCCACCCAGGTTTGTAGCTGAACTTCTCCCAGAATGTCGTCTGTAGCAAGCTAAACTGTATTTTAAATAAGCAAGTTTACATTTTTATAGTTACATTCATTGTTATATTAATAATTAGTAAAGAAAAACAACAACCAGGCTTTGACCTAAACCAAGTGGTCCCTCCTTTTAACACAACGTTGTTCTAAAAGCTGCTTCCTGTCCGATGTTTGTTCACCACAGTTTGTCAGGATGGTGTAATTCCCCTACCAGACGCACGCACACACACACACACACACACACACACACACACACACACACACACACGCACACGCGCACACACACACACGCGCACACACACGCACACACACACACACACACACACACACACACACACACACACACACACACACACACACACACACACACACACACACACACACACACACACACACACACACACACACACACACACACACACACACACACACACACACACACACAGGCCTTTGAACTGCCCTTTGAGCGTCTTTGAACATTATACATGCAGCAGCATTCAGCGAGGCGGACAAAAGCTGCAGTCTTGAAGAAGTCCACATTGACCTCCACGCTCCGCTCAGTCGACTGGACATTAATGCTACTCGTTCACAACATGCAGGACATTCCTCAGACAGACAGACAGACACACAGAGCTGTATCCTCTCTCATGATTCACATGTTCCTTTGATTTATTCACAGATGGACTGAGACACAAAGACGTGCTTTTGCAGGCAGATCATGTGAAACATCCTGTGAACAGCAGCGCTCATTCTTCCTGCAGAGATCTGAACATACACACACATCCAACATGACCACATACACACTCAATGTATCGGGCCTCCATGTAAACATCCTGGGGAATACAGCCTATGATGCTTATGGGGTTAAAAGAGTTCTGACCACAGATGGTATTCCCAGCTGTTCCGAGTTGTAAACAGAAAGTTTATGGTGAAATAAAACAGCGAGACACTATCTACCATTTGTAAATCCACTTAAAGGAGTTTAGAAATGGTTCAAACCTTTAAGCAGTGTGACAGTTTGCGATGCTTCAGACAGCTGCAGTGTGTATACACAAAGGGGGGGGGACTTTAAAATCTGAGGAATGCATCATGAGTATGCACCTCAGCAGCTTGTCTTTTCTTCCTTTACTTCCCATGTTTAGATGACTTGTTGTCCTCATGAACTGCATTTATAAAAGAAGTGTCAGAACTAAAAGCAACAGTTCGAATATCAGGAAATGAACTGAGTCGCTTTCCATCCAAGACTGGGAACACATGAAACTCTTATGAGGGTGAAGCTGGGGTCAGGACGTTGACGGAGCATCGTCCAAACTGCTCAACTTTATCACTTAAAAACACACGGCGTCATGAGTAGAGCTGCATGATAATTCTTGTTTCCTCCTTGAAAAAAAAATACTTTACACGTCCTTCAGTGTCCAAATAAGTGCTGCTTTACTCAGTGCTATTGTCTGTTTGTTTTTACACCAGTTATTTTTCTAACCTGTTTGTCCCTGGCAGTAGAATGCAGTCTCTCAGTAGACGGAGCTCCCTCAAAATTCAGCGAGGTAATCTGGAACTACTACCAATGACGTACCTGACGCCCAGCCTCAAGCATCCACCTGAAGTCAGAATTCCAATTCTGAAACTCGGAGCAACTTCCGCAGACCAATTTAAAAACCAACATGGCTGCTAAATGCATCAACCATAATGTTTAAGCTGTAACTGTTGTGATTATTCTCAACCTGATCCTCTTTTAGTGGAAATAAATCAATCACACCGATTGTATCTTGCACGTTCTATCTGTGGACATGCTGTCATGTAATTTCACAAATTCACACAAACTATCACGTAGTGTGTTGTTATCGTCAGGTATTAGCTAATAAAACACAAGTACTCCTGGAGGCGTCCATATTGCTTGTAAATACTCAATGGACTTGAGCTTGTTTATTTATTTTCTAGTCTTCTGACTACTGACTGCTACACATTCACACACTGATGGTAGAGACTGCTGTGTAAAGAGACCATCAGTAATCCATTCATACACATTCATACACCACCAACAAAGCAGCAGGAGCAACTTGGGGTTAAGTGTCTTGTCCAAGGACACATTGGACAACTTCCTGCAGGAGCTGGGGATCTATTCCCCCGACCTTGTAGTTGAGAGACGACCGACTCTACCACTGAGCCACAGCCGCCCCTTGTCCGGTTTGCAACTGTAGCTCTGAGGTCTGAGGTATATCCTCCACCTCCTGGTTATTCTGTTTGCGTCATGTCCCGCCTCCTGACATCAGCCCCCCCCCCCATCAGACTGGGATAGTTTCCAAGGCAGATTTAAAAATCAGTTTGTGAAAAAAAGGCTTTCAATTAACCTTTAAATGTACATTTGTGTTTCTGCGTTTCAGGAAATGATCTCCTCAGATGTAATCCTCTATTAGCGACACAGAGAGATTAAAGAATGAATCTCAAACACAGCGGTTACTGTTCTACATCTCAAACTCTCATGCAAATTAAAACCAATTGACATTTTCCGCCTCCTGCCAACTATACAAGCTCACTCAGTAATGCGAGCTATTTCTGCCGCCCTCCCACTGTGCCCACCGCAGAGCCGAAACAAAGATGACATTCAACATGTGATATCGCCTCTCTCTCTGTTTGCATGTGAAGCTTCCTCCGCCTGTGCTCTGCTGTCTTAACCACTACATTACATTTTATTTCCTCCTTTATCGAGCGTGTGCTACCAGGGGTCGGAGGTTTAAGGCCGTGTATCTCTGTGACAACAGAGCAGAACAAACGCCGCTGGTATCGAAGCACAAAAACAGGATTTGAGTGCTGTCCAAAGTCAACACACTCTGTGCTCATGTGGCTTTGAAAACTGTGAGCATGCCCTCTCTCTGCAGGGAGGGTGGGGGGTGGGAAGCCTCTGTGACAGGCAGTTGAACCCCCTGAGTGTTGTTTTACAGAGATAAGTTTGAAATAGGATTGGTCCTTATATACGCTGGGCACAGTGTGTTTGTACGTATACATCTGCACGCTGGCAGAGTTTTCCCAGAGCGGGAGCATTAAGTGGATTAAATGTTTAAAGCTTGAAGGTTGAGTCTCATTTCCGCTTTTTCTTTCCCAACTGGAGCTGCCTGCTGTACTCATACTGACCTTGAAGAGGGAGGGGTAGGAGGGGGTGGGGGGTTCAGACACTGGATTTAGTCATGCTAACTCCTCTGAACATCCTCAGGACTGCACACATCCCGGGTCATGAGAAACTCATCCCAACGCAGACAGTCTGGCTGCAGGGGCGAGGCCCTTCTCTCTCTGGAGACCTCTAAACTAAGAGAACTAAGACTTTGAGAAATAAACATGCACGATATATAAAATAAATGACGAGGGCGTTATTTAGATATGCTGGGTTTTTGTCGCCAAATTTGGGGGATTCAATAATTCCACATATTCTGACTTTTTTGACCAACAGACTGTTTTTCTCAGGATGTTTCCTTTAACCGATCAGTCACTGTATGTACACTTACATCTTCAGATACCAAGATTCACCGCATTTCAGTCCAGTTCTCATGGCTAATGGACACAAATCAAGCTGAAAAGCATCAAAGTGTCAACATGAAGACAGCTGCAGTGAACGTCCATGTAAAAGTTTCCAGTAGTTTATCTTCGGCCTGACGCCTCAGTCTACGCTCTAGAATAAGTTCAGAGTCATGGTTGCTATTTCTCTTTCATCTCTTTCACTGGATGCAAACTCACACTTCATGTCATTATCTGGGGCTGTAATCAGTCACTCAACTGACTCATCAGCTGATCATCATCTGTCCAATCACATGGAGTCTCACCCTCATCGTTAGCATCTCTTCTTTCTGCTCTCTCCCCGGCCCCTCCCCGTAGAGTTCAAGCCATCCAGCCATGTCATCAGTTTAAGATTTGTTCAGAAACGTTCCTCTCTGAAGATCCGTCAGGTCTGCCTGTGGTCTTTAATATATGTTCAGCAAAGAGATTTAGAACCCTTAGGCCCTTTGCCCGCCTAGCATTTTTTTCTGAGCGCCTGCATGTTTTTTATTGTTTCCAATGAGCAGAGAGCGGTCAAAGCAGTAGGCGGCTGCCTGGAGGAAAAGCGAAGCGTGTAACTTCTTTTTCCAGGTGCTCCGCCTTTTTTGTGCATCCGCTCCGAGCTCTTTGAGTCTAAAATCTTTGGACTTTTCAGAAAAGGCGCCGTTGATGTCAGGAGGCGTTCTATTTTTAATATATGATATTAACATAGTTTTGCAGCACACGGTCGGTGTCTTGTACCCACATCTTTTCTGCTCCGTGTATGATCGAGAAGTAATCGATCTAAAAATTAAAAACATGCTGTAAAAAGTAACGGATCAGTGTCGGACATACAGCGGCCGTTGTCAACAGACTGTTGTCATAGAGACCGGACGGACGTGCAGCATTTTTTGTCCTAGCGAGCGCACAGCCAGCGCTTTTCTGCCCATAAAAGAAACTCTGTGTGAACACGGGGCCTAAGTAACCTAAATAATAACCCTAATTCAATCAAATTGACTGTTTGTTTTAACTGAACCAAACAGGTTAGGTGTGAAAACGATTGTGACATCAAATCCTCACAGGAAGGTCTGTCACTGTTTCTTTGTGGAGATGGATTAAGTATTTAGGGACACTTTTAATCAACCTGTCAGTGAAAGTGATCATCTCTCAAATAAAGCATTTAAATCCATTTAGCTTCAACACAGTTGATGTCAGTGGCCCATGTTTCTTAAACAACGTCTGTATCCATCAACAGTGACAAAATCTTTTCTATCCAAAGCTTATGTTTTAGAGACAGAATGTCAAAAAGACTAAACAGGTACTACTGGAGAGAGGTTTGAGAAGGGTGCAGTTATTTGACAGGATATGAACTTCAGTCCCCCACAGAGACGATAACATTCCCCACAGTGCAACAACCACACCCTGTTCTTCTGCCTCACATTAAAGGGATCGTTTTGTATTTTTCAAGTGGGCTTGTTTTAATTATTAATTTTAAATAGGAACAATGGCATTTTAATGCACATAAACATGTACAACAATGTTTATAAAGACGTGGAAACATATCACATTCCCATGTGATCTTGGACTCTCTCTGTATTAGCTGATATGTAAATTACTTCAATATCGGACTCGATACCGATAAAAGATTGTATCGGCCACATCTCTACTTTAAAGTGCTGCTGTGATTACACATCTGTAACTATGCACACAGTACATGGATGTGTACGCAGTATCACACTGCGGGGTTAGCTACATAGATGTTTCAATGTAGGCATAATTATAGATAGATTTTGGTCACAGATCTAATTTGTTCTGATTCACAGCTTCAGATCAACCTTTAAGGTGGTAAGCTGCTCCATAATGTGCTCCCTTTGAACGAGAGAAACATTGGGACCAATCGTGGATCGTCTGAGGGGAACCTCACAGTCGACAGTGGATCCAGTGGTTCTAGATGAAGAGTCACTGTTAGCTTTCTGTTTGATGTTATCATGTAGTGGAGGATGTGTTAGCCCATGTAGGTTGGATGAGGTATGTCAATAGGACACATTGGACATGTGGCTGCAGGAGCTGATGAGAGACGGACGACTCTACCAACGAGCCACAGCCACCTAAAGTCTTTGATACACCAAATCCTCCCATTAGCGTTCTCTCACAGTCCAAGCTAACTTCAACACGAGCCTCAGCCGAACATCTACTAAACCAATTCACTGACCTGCTGAAACACTTTCAAGCCACAAACACTCAACAGTCTGATGGAACAAGCTAACGCTAACAGAGAAAATCAGAGCTTGTTTGCTGCCAGCTACTACTCAAAGCACTTTTTCACCACTGTTGGCTGCTATGTAAAGTGACCACCAGTATTAACCCATTCATACACATTCACAGCATGTGAGCATCTTGGGGTGTCTCTCCCAACGACACACTGAAACATGTGGCTGAAGAAGCTGGGGAGCGAACCCCCAATGATCTTCAGGTTGACTCTACCACTGAGCCACAGCCGCCCCTACAACTTCTCTACAACCAAAGTGATTGTAAACCAACATCTGCGTATGATGAGTCATTACAGTACACAGACACTCTGGAGCAACACAAACTAACTATTGAAGAAATGATGTTCAATGATTGTCAGCTCAGTTTTAAAGTTTGGCCTCTGCTTCTCTATCCTTTGGGAGGTACACTACGCCAAGGCAACATTGGGCAGCAGTCCTTCCCATGCCCTCGCTGCTTATTGTGTGCACTCTCACTCTCTCTCTCACTCTCTGAGGTGTTGCTCAACTTTTGGCAGCTGGTTTCCATTAGAGGACTGTCAGGGAGGGGCGGGAGGGGCATGACAGCGCTGGAGACAGTAACTCAGAGCCCCATGTGAGCTTTAGCCCTGGGGTTCCTCTGATGACCCACACACACACACACAAACACACACACACACACAAACACACAATAATGAACACAAAGCTGGACCTTTGAGAAGTCCAGACAGACCCTCAGAGGACAAGCAGAACTAACACTCAACACTGATCTTCAGTCTCTTTACGCAGAGTCCAGGTCAGATTGTAGATGAGACAGAAACTTTGAAAAGTCACAACAACAACAACGCTCTGATAGCACAAACCAAAGAGTTAAAAAAAAACAACAAATCAGTCTTACTTTGAGCTCAGTCTGTTGCTGCTCCCCGAGCCTGGCAGCAGATGCTGGAGAGGCGATCCCTGAGAGGATGCCGAGAAGGCAGAAGCAGGACAGAGATCTAGCAGCCATATTTGTGTGTTTGCCCAGTGGAGCAATGATCCCCCTCTCTCTCTTTCTCTCTGTCTCTGTCTGTGCTCCTGTCAGCGTCTCCGGGCAGCTCCTCTAGCTGGGCTGCACTCGTTGGCTTTCACTTTTTCCACTGCTCCGACCTCCAGATGCAGTGCTGTACGCCTATAATCCCGGCCCGGGGTTGAGTCCTGTAAAACAAACTTGGTGTGGACTTCCTCCCTCTCTCTCTCCCTCCCTCCCTGTGCTGATTCCTCTCCCCTAGCGGACCTGCCTCTCCCCTGAGCCTGCGCCTAAATCACATACAGATGGGAAGGCTGGAAAAAAAAAAAAAGAGAAAGAGGAGAGGAGAAGAGAGAAAGAAGGGCGGACAAGAGGGGCAAATGAGCTACAGAGGGCTTCTGTCTCTTGAGCAGAAGGCAGGCTCTGAGCACCCATCCAAACTGAGGCCTCCCCCCCCCCCTCCCCTCTACCTCTTACTGGCAGAGTCACATTGAGTACTCCCCGTATCCATTTGCAGGACTGTGGCACCCTTTCACCTTGGGCTCAACAGGCAGCACCCCCTCCCCCTTCCCCCTCTGTTCGGCCAGGGTGGGCAGAGGGTCTTAACTTCAGCACTCACTCCGCACTCGGCAGGCGGAAAAGAAACAGCTGCTCTGATATCCAGCTCCTCCTCACAGCCCCCAGACATGAGCTTTCTGTTTGTCTTCCAAGGTCAGACCTTCAAAAAGGTGCTAAATTTATCGATACTGTGCGAGTCTGACAGGAAGAGCCATGACTGTGACACTTTACCAACACAATGGAGGTATTGTCTGAAACTTAAAAAAGCTGCAGTTCCTCCCCAGATGGACACTGTGAAGGCAGCACGTGCTGAAACGAGTGACCGAGCAGACACAGTTGTGTCTCCTCCACAGAGACCATGTTGTAAGCAGTTCCAAATACGTCCCACATATACGTCATGCTACAGCTCGTAGCACTATGTGGAAGTCAGATGTCTCAAGTGACCAATAAACAGGTTGTCACATTCCAGTTATGTATGGCAGAGATGACTTCCACATAACAGCCTTCAGTTTACACTGCAAAAACTTAAGTCCAAGCGTAAGAGTATTCATCCAATATCTCGTCAAAAATAATTTATTACACAATTTATAAACCCCTTAGACCTGATAAACATCTTCATGAGGTATTACAAGCAGAAAATAAACCCTGAGGTGATTTAATTTGTCAATCAGTCAGCCATCATTTTAAGGAAGTTACAGATGTTTCCACTACAGTGTACATCATGTAACAGAGCAAAACAACAAAAATATTTATATTCACTATTTTAAATGCAAACATGTTTACAGTTTTTCGGATATCCATTTAACTGGAGTAAATCTTAAAATGTTTTGCAAGGCATACCCTCCTGGAATCCGTTTCAAAGGTTGCAAAGGTGGAGTATAGCCCCAAACATCTGGATTCACAGGAGAACTACAAGACCACACGGGGAAAAAAATGAAATCAGCAGGATACTTTGTCTTTCTGATTATCATTTGTTTATTCAGTGCCTGTTTTGATGTAATGTTGAAAAAGTGATAACGATCAGCTGTACATGGTGTTTTATTTTGAAATTGACAGTTCCAACAGAACAATATTACATAACTAACTAACATCATGTTACTAAACCTACTGTTATTTAAAAGAATTGATCTGAAACTAATTACTTACATTCAAAAGTACTTGGCCAATTGAGAGTCCGCTACCTGTTTCAAAATGCAGCTCAATAAATATCAGGATATTGAAGAAGGCTGAAGCACTTAGAGGGTGGATTTTTAAAGGAACATTTTTGAAAATATTTGTATTCACTTCCCGTCTGAAATTAAAAGGGAGGTACTCAAACTTGAATCCCTAAACTGAAGAGCACTAGAAGAAAAAATACTTTAACATCCACTCATTTGACTAAATCTTGTGATATGTCGGCTCATGAAGGTAGCAACTGATGGATCCATGGTGGCCAGGGAAAATGAGGACACATAAGTCAGCTGCTTTTTAAAAAAGCCTTCAAAATCAGACAGCCTTCGACGCACTGCTGTGACGCAATCTGCGATATGCGACATAGCTAAAGACTTCCAATGGATTCTTCCCCTGCTGGATGTTAGAAAGAATGCATGTTTAAGCTTTCGATGTTTGCTTCACTTTCCAAACAAAGAGGCCACATTCACTAACAGTCTTTTGCTCCTCACCCTCACATTACCTGCTCATGACAACCCTGTGGTACCATAACAAAGTTAATTGCAGCCTCGGTAGTAACTCTAGACTCCAGTTATGCCTGTTTGAGTCCAATGTAAGCCTTTATAAAACACTTTCATGCCATTGGAGCAGCAGTAAACCACAAAAAGGGCTGATGTTTGACTGTGCTGAACCACACTCTGTTTACTTCACCAGCTCACTCAGACAGAAAGGACTTTTCCCTCTCTGTGTTTGCACCATTGCACCATTGGTATTCTCAGCGCATGCTTTGGTGTAAACACCAAAGAGATCACTCACGTGCAAGTATTCAGTGGATGGAGGAGGTTTCAGCACTTTATTCTTAACTTCTCTACAAAAGGCCAAGTTTGTTGGGTGGTCTCCTTTTGCCAACCTATTCAGCTAAGGCCAGTCATGTGATCCCAGGCCACTGCAGGCTTTTGGCAGCTGAGCGATACAGCAGACTGGGCACAGTGCAACACTGCCCTCTGAGCCAAAAGCAACATGGAGAAATCTATCCATAGTGCTGCAGGGCAAGTGTCATAAGATCTACTCAGTACAGAACAGCAGCGCTTTGCAAAAACCAAAAAGTTTATCATACTCCGAGTACATTTTTCTGACAATATTTCCAAAAATAAATGGGCTAAAAAGGTCATATTAAATAATACTATTTTATCATATCACAACACATTCGCACCCCCTACTTGTGAAATACGTCAGGTTTGATTATTATCTTAAAAATGTGCAAACTTGCATCTCTAATATTGATCCTAGTTTGAGCACGTTTCTGCTCACGTTTCTATCTGAACCACTTCTCTTGTCCGCTTCCATCGCTGCAACACCTGTTGACCTGATAACTGCTCTCATATCTGGCAAACTGAGGGGCATCCAAAACGGCCGTGTGGGGGTGTCTTAAAACTGCCTACCTTCTCTGGTCCAAACAAATCCAGAGCATTCAGGACCAGAATCTAAAGTTAGAAGGAGGACATACTGGCTGCTGCATTGTTGTCAGAGAAGCCAGCACTTCAACATAGCATGTTTCATTAATGTCTGATCAGATAGTAAGATACCTTTATCATTACAGTCAGTAGTTATCTTACAGATTGGTATCAGTTATAGAAGTGCAATGATCATCAAACTTGGTAAGAGTCGTGAAGCAGCTCCGTTAAGTTTAGGTACAAAAAGTAAGTGGGAAAAGACGCTGAGGGAAAAGAAGATGCGTTGGGTTAAATTAGTATAAATTTGTGCTCAGTCATGTAGGTACATAACTTACATAATGCAATCCAAAGAATGTTTGGGTTTGAATAAATATGAACGTTAGTATGTTATGTTCATCAAAAATTAATCAACTTAATGTAAATTAACCCTAAACTTCTGGATGAGTGTTTGAACCCTCTGAGCCAACTTTTGCGACCTTATACAACAACACTTGACAACATCCATAAATGAGACAGGCGGGGAAACTGGACTAGTCATACTTCAAATTTGCCTTCTTCTTTGAGCTTTGGTCGTACTATAATTATAAACCATATAATGGCATTCATGACATAGTAATTTCTGATAAATCTAGGACATTCTCTATAAAAAATGCTATTTTGATACTTGTTTTCTAAAGCTGGAACTTTGTGCATGTTGTATAGCTGAAAATCAGCTCCAGCACAGGGCAGTAGGAGAGAGGCACGGCGGCCTCTGCTGAGAGGGCCGAAAGGTCAGAGGGTCCAGCAGGTCATCCCTCTCCCCTCAGCCTTGGTGTCTCCTTACACTCCACACATACCAGAGAAAACTATGACCTCTATCACAACAAACACCTCCTCACTGACTGGAAGCTCTGACAGCTCTGTGGACACAGCAAAAGAACAACTTCCACATGATAACAACTTTTGCAATTTGTGAAGAATCATGTGTGAAACTTGACATCTTAGCTCGTATTGTTAGTGCCTTTTAGAGAAACCTAATGTCGTTTTTGGACAAAAAGAAACAGAAGCTGAAACGAACCGTTCCAGGCAGTGGCTAAAATAAGGGTTGTAAAGACTGACAACATGAAAGCTGAACATCAGGATAATGTGGGATCTTTAAGTAACCACCACTCTGTCTTCTACAAGAGCAGTGTGAAAACCAGCAGCAGGTTACTATCCCTTACATCTCATTGTGTGGAGAAACAACGCCATTGACTTTCTGATTAAACAGATAATGGAATAACTGTGGTATAGACTTTTGGCAGCATAGCATTTACTCCTCTTTGACTCCACCTTTCTGTCCAAATATGGTCACTGACGGCTTAATGAGGTCAAAAAGCTTCAGGAAAACATGTAGTTCAAGGCCACAAGCCCAAACATGTCAGGCTAATAAAGTTAATAAAGTTGATCTTTATACTTCTGGAGCTTTTTGACCTCTTCATGCCTTTCACTCTTCATGCACCTTGGAAGTCGGAGAAGCCAGAAATCTCGACTCTGCTTCTTCACTGATGTGTCCACAAACTGAGATGTCACAGTAACCATGATGTCCACTTCTTATATACAGTCTATGGTTAAAAAATAAGCGTACCACCAGAGCCACTACACTCTATTTCGACAGAATACGCTGCAGTCACACGTTAAGCTGGACAGAATATGACAACCCAGACAGGAAGTCAGACAATGAAACGCACAGAGGGTCTGGTAAATTTCAAAATAAAACACAATATACGGACTAGCGATCGTATTGTATATTCCATCACTTAACATCAGGGGTGGAGCAGCGATTTTAAAAGTGCGGGTGTTCTAATGCTAGTATATTACCACCCTCTAGCAAATCAACACATTCTGTTTAATTTAATGTCAAATAACTAATGTTAGCTGACACATCATACAACAAGACAAAGTTACAAAAGATAATTAGACACTAACTTTATGAACATCCATTGTGAGTAACCCAGTTAACTCTAAAAACGAGATTCAAAACTGCTCTTTGTGATGCTTTTATTTGCCTTTTCTTACTGCCTTATGCCTCAGTCTCTTTATTTCCTGTCTTCAAATA